ATTTCAAGAGAGCACAGAGTCTTCCTTCCATTACCAAAATCCTGAAAGGTTTAAGGTTTCTTCAGCCAGAAGCTGAAGGGGTTTAATCCAAGTGATTGTATTTAGCAGCCACTGACAAATCTATTTTTGTGAATTAGTCTAATTCTTTTGAAATCAATGTCTGCTTTATCCCATGGCAGTAAGTTCTACAACATTTTGGTATTTGTTACAAAAAGGTATTTTCAGCCTTGTTTGCTGGTTATGTCCTGATGTCACTGTGTTTTGCTGTCCCTGTGTTGTGAGAGGTGATCATTTTTTCACCCTTTTAATAACTGATTCCTAACTTTATTTATTTCTTTATCAAACCACTTTTTGGCCACCTTTTCCCTAGCTGAAAAGTCCCAGTTATGGTGTGACCTCGTGTGATTTGGCAATGACTGAATGCATTTTCAATTAAACACAATATTTCCTAATGAAGCCATTTGCTCATTAGTGCCTCCAATTCACCAGTGGCAGAATTGAGGTTTGTATGGATTTTTTTTGAACTATGGGAGGAATTTGGAAGGACTTGAAGCATAGGAAGTGTCAGAGTATGTGAATTCTGAAGGTAAGAGAATTTCTTCGTGCCCAAAGAGTGGTGGTAATACAACACTAAACCAAGGGTGGGTAGAAACCAGAAAAACTCAGCTGGGAGCTGCTGTGTTTATGGGTGCTGTGCCTCTGATCTGCAGAATTCCTGGCTGGATCAGCAAATGGCTGCACTCAGCTATAATGCAAATGCCACAAACCTCAGGGCAGTGGAAGCAGCAAAATCAAGGTGGCAATGTGAAACATGGTCCATTTAGGTTTAAACATTTGGGTCAGTTTCAATTAATCTTATAGACCATGGTGAAAAAGTCATTAGCATCCCTCTTGTATGACATTTAGAACCACCCTGACATTTCTCATTGTTATTATACCAAGCACCTTTACCTGAAGAAAACAAAATGTTTTGCTTATTATGAAGGGAAGTGTGATGGAATTTACAGCATTCTGAAAAAGAGGAGAAAATTAATTCTCTTTTTTTTTCTTATTCTGAATGAGAGCAAATGGGGAAAAGCCAGAATTTCCAGTGGCATGTGTGCCTTAATTGGTATCTTATGTTTATTATTACTGCTCTGCATGCCTTGTTCCTTTCCAGCTCTTGGAGATGTGGCTGCCTGGTTAGATGTACTGAACAGGGAGAACCAGCCCATGCAGCACTGAGCCCTTGGCCTCCTCTGCCCTTTGGGATGCCTCTTCCCTTCAGTTTTGGAGCCCTTCTCTCAGTGGGGATAGGAAATCAAAGCTCTCTGTCAGAAGACACAGTAAAAGCCTCTGTGCTTGGGGTTCTGCTGCTGGCAGACCCAAAGTCAGTCTTTGCTAACAGGATACAGATCTGGGCTTGGATTTTGGTAGCAGAGGTGTCAGTTTGGCCAGAAATATGAGAGGCTGATCTCTCAGCTCAGACATGTGGCAGCAGTGGGTGCAGTGATTTCTCTCCCTTGATTCATAGGCACAGGTAGTGGGATCCTTCAAGGGAAGTTGTAGTTTTAGCAAATTGAAAGGTTTAAAGCTAAAGGCAATGAGGAGATTGAAAAAAAAAAAAATTGTCACGTGTTGTGGATTTGTTCTAGTGTGTGATGTGGGATCATAAAGTTGGGGCTTGGATATGGCATTGCTGAAGGTTTGAAGGGGAGAAGGAGCTGCCTGTGGAAGACCAAGGGGTTCCCAACAGTAGAAATACTGCAGAAGTCTCTAGTGGGGGAGCTACACTTCAGATTGGGGAACTGTCACTGTGGAAAGACTGTCCTTTAAAATTTGCATAGCAGGTACAACTCCCCTTCTGTCACATTTCCTAGCTGGTGGTGACACCGTGCACTGATGTCACTGGTGTGCTGGATAAACCTCAGCCAAGGCAGGGACAGGTCATTAGGGAGTCTCCTGAAGCAGCTCCTCCCTGGCCATCCATGCAGTGGTTACAGGGCCAGCAGGGAATTCACCTGTGTGGGCAGGACAGCCTGTGTGGCTCTGTGGGGTCACATCTCACCATGAGCAAGGGGATGGAGCAGGGAGAGCATTGATCTCATGACTCACCTTGGCATCAGTTGATTCCTTCCTTTGCATGGTGCAGGGCTGAGAACCAGCATGGGTTTAACTTACACCACATGGGAATCTGGCCCAGGCTTTTTGGATTTTTCTGCCTCAGAAAACTTCCTGAATTCTCTAACTGCTCTCAGAGGGCAGGCCTCTTCCAGAAGAGTCCTCCTTGGCATTGGCACTGCTCCTGTGCCAAGAGCATCGTGGGGTAACACTGCCTCACACCTGCAGTGACTCAGGGATGGTGCATGGCTGCAGCAGCTGCCAGCAAACTGCTCAGCATCTGCTGAGAGCTGCCAGAGCCTCACCGAGTGCCTCAACCTCATGGGCCAATGATGTCTTCACAGGCATTGTGCCACCACCACGAGTGGCAGCACTTCCAAACTTCAGGTCACAAATTCCTGGCTCTGTATATTTTGGGGCAAAGAAAGAACTGATACCATCCTGATGCTGAACACTTCACTTGTAGTAGAGCAGCTGATTGTTTAATTGCCCATTTAGTTCAAAGTGTGCCACCTTTGAGTCCAATTCTAGAATTTGTTACTGCTACTTGTACCTCAAGGAAGAGTCTTCCTCTGATCTGGAGATTCATCAGGATCTCTTGCTTAATCACCTCTGTAAACATCTCTCATGTCTCTGGAGAAGACCAGTGCACCCCTGACCCATCCCCACTCAACCTTACCTTGAGGAGTTGCACAGCTTTAGCTGCTCCTGATCTACTGGAGACATGAGCTTGGCTCCTGGCTGTGTGGTTCTTGGTAGATGTGGAGGGCAGTGAAGGGTGGAGCTCCTACACATCACTGTGGCTATGCCCTCCATCCCAGGCCTCGTGGCTTCCCACATCTTTGAAGCTTCATTTTGGTAGGGACATTGATCCAGTGAGCTCTGTGGTGTGCGTTTTTGGATTGGTGTGCAAGTCAATGCCCTGCATGGGAATGAGGGTGTGGGAGATCAGAAGGAAGATGAGAGGAAAGTGCAGAACGCTGTGCAGGGCTGTAATTGGTGATCCCAAAGGGCAAACACCACAGACACAGCAGGGATATTCACACAAGAATGCTTCCAGATTAAAGTGCCCTGATCTAAAGTTTCCCTCATGGGCAGCAGATTAATTACCCTACGACACCTTTAGAGTGGTGGATACTTGGTCCTGTGGCCCCAACACCAGAAGTTCTGCCTGTAGGGATAAGAGAGCTCTTTTGCTGCCCTTGGTGCTCTATGGATACCAGGAGCTGGTTCAGCCAGCTGTGTAACTCCTGAGGGAAGGAGGGAGGGAGGGGTGTAACTCCTGATGTGGCTTGAGGGATGCAGGGAGTGTTGGGGGAAGCTTCCCACAGCAGGGACCCTTCTCCTCTGGCAGGTGTCCATGTCCTTTAATTTTCTCTTGTACTCCTAGCTCTCCACTGAGGTATACAAGAGAATCACACCAGCATCAAAGTGGGTGCCTGGACCTCTGCAGGTCTCAGAGGCCTCTATGCTGGTTGCTGTTTTGCCCAAAGCAGTGGGAACTCCCATGCTAAACCACGAGCTCTTGTGTTCTGACCCAAAAATGCAGTGACCAGCTGTGCTGAGGAAAGCTCAGGAAAATCCAGTCTCCATCAAGGACACCAACAGCCATGGACTCCATTTACCCCTGCCAAGCCCTCTGGGAGCTTCTGGGGGTTGACCACTGCTATAATGAATAAATGTTGTACAAATGTGGTACCATGTCCTTGTTGGAAGGGTGAGAGATAAAGCTGTGTCTGGGTGAGAGTCTCAGGTCATCTTTGAAGACTAAAGAGCAAGGTAATCAATTACCACAAACCTGCCCACAGGCCTTCAGCAAATCTGGCTCCTTTCCACAGCAGAAATAATAGCAATGTCCTTTGCCAGGTAATTTTCCAAATGATTATTTTAAATAATATGTTGCTGTGATCCAGCAAAAGAGTTTGGAGATTTATGAGAGCATTTGTCTCCAAGAGAAAGGGCAGCTGTGAACTCTGTGGGCTGGCAGCGAGCAGCACGGGGCAAGTGGCACATCAAATACTCCAGTGTCTCATTGCTCAGGTCCACTCCATGTCTGGAGAAACAGGAGACAGGGACACAGAGCTCATCCCTCAGCACTGGCTGCCAGCATCCCAAGTCACCAGGCAGATGGTGCTGGAGCTGCTCTGAGCTGGGAGGACACACGGGGGGTGGTGGTGATGGATTGCTCCTCTGCCTTCCCAGGGCAGCTCTGCACAAAAGGTAAAGGATCCACAAAAGCCCTGGAGATGTTTGTTGGTCCTGGATCCATTGCCCCTTCCTGTGGTAAAAGCTGAGACAAAGCCCTGTTTTAACAGCCTGGCTTGGAAATAAAGATTGGGGTGTTGCACAGAAATCAATCCAACAAGTCTTGGAGAACATGTCCTCATGGGTTACTCTGGCCATGTGCCTGCTTTTACTTCATTTTATTTTGTAAAGGCAGAATTAGGATATCTTAATTTGAGGGATTTTTGTCATTTCTAGCCTGTTCTTGGATTTTGGAGTGAAGGGGGAAAATCTGCAGTTGCTTCAGGACTGACAGGTATCCTATGAACAAATAGCTTGGCTCTTCCTCCTATTACCTGGGACCCTGAGTAGCTGGGTCTAGTGGGAGGTGTCCCTGCCATGGCAGGCATGTTGGAACTGGACAACCTTCAAGATTTCTTCCAAGCCAAACCATTGTATGATTAAATAGCCTGTGATGTCAGTGTTGAGGAGGTGCTTGTAGTGGGCTTTGGCAGATGATACTGCCAGGGTGGGGTCAGTGAAAGGAGCTTCAGTGAAACTGAGAACGTGCCCTGTCGTTTAGGAATGGAAAATAGACAGAAATGGCAGAAATATATGGCCAAAAAGTGCATGTCCTCATCATCATAATGGCATTTTCTCTCTCCTTCGTCCTCCAGGTTATCTTGCACCCCGAAACCTTCCCAGCGCAGGCTTCTTCCCGTTCCTGCAGACGGTGCTGTGTGACTCTGATGCCAGGTGTAAGGGCACACCATACACACCAGAAGATCTGCTGCCAAGACTTAATGACATCTCATCCCTCAGACTGTAAGGGAATCTGAACATTTCCAGGTGTTAGGAGCACAGAGCCTGTTTTGGGGGGGAGGGAGCAGCCACGAATGTCTGTGTGTATGAACAAGTTCGTCCATAACAGATATACTGAGGTACCTGTTCTAACAGATGTCTGACACTTAGAAAAGAGAAATCAGCTGCAACTGGACACTTCAGAAATAATCACATTAGGGAAGGAATGTGTCCACTGATTCAGGCTTGAATCTCCTACTGAAGGGAATTTTACTCACTGAGAAAAGCCCTTCAGATCACCCAGATCAAAGCAAAGGAACATTTTTTTGCACGACTGTGGGTCAGGTCAGTGATAAGACTTGCCCTCAGAGCAGCCCAGAATGCTGATGTGCCACTGAGAGGGATCAGTTCAGGATGCTTTGGCTGGAAGTTTGGATGTTAGTTCTGCAGCAACTGCTCTTTGAGCAGGTCCTCCAGGTGCCAGCCAGAATGGGTGTCCTCTCTGCAGGACATCAAATGTGTTGGGAAACACATGAAAATGCAGAAACAAGTTTTGCCCACAAAAGCACAGAGATCTGCAGTGTGGGGCTGGCTGGGCATGTTTTGTTGGAATGTCAGTTTGCTGAAATGGAAATGTTCAATGGGACCATTTCAATTTCTTGATGTTCCAGTTGAAGTCAAGTAGCATTTGCTTTGAGGCATGCCAGCCAGGATGGTTTCTAAGTGGTTTCTACATCTTGGCTGCCCAGTTCTGACAGATCCCTGGGGAACATGCCACGCTGAGGCCTGACTAAAAATCTGGCCTCAGAATGGCCCTGATTGTTCATCTTTGTTTTCAGGTGAGAGGCTGCTCCATAGTCAGAGTCTCAAAATCCCTCTTGGCCAGAGCTTGAGAGTCTGAAGAGTTAAAATAGGCCCCACCAGAGAGCACATCAGGCAGTCCTGGGGTTGGTGGCTCCTTAAGGATCCTCCTTAGTGCAGAGGGGGTCATTTCCCAGGCCAAGTCAGTGGTCAGAATCTCTCCATGGGTAGGAAGGATGATTAGGGATGTGGCACAAGGTGAATCCTAATCAAATTCAAGGTCATACAGCAGAAGAGAGGAGAGAAGACAAAGCCACATGGGGATTGGATGCCTGGATTCCCAGCTCTGTTCCTCAGTGTCATTGTTTTTCCCTGGGCATATTAAACAATGGTTCATTTGGGGTATTGAAATGAAGAAATGGGAGCTTCTTGTGCCAAAGCTGGAGGTCTTCCATGGGTTTCAATAGCTACAAATCCTCCTTGCTTTCTGCTTTTGGTTTCTGAAAAGCTGTTTAGGAAATAAGTGGTTTTTCCTGCCAAATGAAAATCAAAGGATTTGGCCAGATTTTATATCAAGAACATGAGTCATTAACATGCATCTTGAAGCCTCTTGATGCTTGAGGTTGTCTGTGGGGAGTATCATTACAGATATGTGGCCATACCTACCTTGTATGGTCAGTGTCAGCACTGGTGTGTTCTGCAAGGAAAAACACCAGCTATTAAGTAGCCACAGTAAAACTAGCAGGATGCAGCAGAGTCTGAAACCTCAGGAAAAGGTTTCTTGGGAAGAGGAAGGCTCCAGATGAATAGGTGTGGCTCTGCCTCAGGTGCAGGATCCCCACTGGTGAGTTTGTAACAAAGTCTTTGAACTGTGGCCTTTCACTACATTAATATATTGTTTTGTAATATTCAGCTAATCCAGGCTGTTTTCTCCTCTCCCATTGTGCAACTCACTGAAGCTCTTGTTAAACTGTTTTATAACTTGCCCTAAAACTGTGTATTACCAGAGGTCAGCAGAGAAAATTGGCAAGGTTCTCACCTTTGATGCTGTTCCTTAGAGGCATTTACCAAAGTGTGCATGATGTGGTTGGTAGAAATTTCCCTTAAGAACAAGAAACCAAGTCCAAAACCAAGCTCAGCAACAACTTCTTCTACCCTTTTCTTCTGGAGTGGAATATTTGGGAAGGATAAGTAAGGTCCTGTTGTCTGGAAGGATTTCTTGGTAAGGCCATGCACTTTATAGCCTTGGAGTTCTGTACTTTTGCCTCCAGAAGGAACCAGGCTTTTGCATAATCCAGATTTCAACACACCTGCCACGAAATCCAGCCACAGACACATTCTAAGTTAATTATAAAAAATTCTGGCAGTTACAGGTGTCTCATCTTTTTTTCTTTTTTTTTCTTCTTTTCTTCTTTCCCCCAGCAAGCGCAGGAGCTCATCCAGCGTAGCCAAGGACAGGCAGCCATCACCATGGAGTGCAGAGGTTCCTGAAAGCAGGAATGCTTCACTGGGTAGGTTACTTGCTGCTCTGGGAAGTTCTGCTCTTTGAAGGCTGATCTTTTGAAGGTCTCTGGCCAGAGCTGCAATTCTTAGAGCACTGCTGAAATGATTTATGGGTTTCACAGAGGCACGTGACTGTGGCCATGTCATTAGTGTAAATTCTTGGGAACAAGTACAAGTAGCTGTCTGTAGAAAAGACTTTGGAATTTGGCCAAGAAACCAGGATTAAATGGTTGCACTTCACAGGAGCAATGCAAGATCACAGATTGATTGGACATTAATTAGAGACCTGGCTATTTATGGAATATTGCCCTTTTGCTACCCACAAATTCTCCATAAACAGCTTATGATTTTTTTTTCAAATGCGTTTTTATCCACAGTTATCCAGCAAATAAGTTGTCTTCTATGCCAGAGTGGATATTTATTGTTGGTGATGTTCTCCTCTGATGTGATTCTCTTTCCTGAAGGAACTTTCAGTCCGAAAGTTTCCATAAAATCATTACAATTATTATTTATTGATGGTAATGACTGGTACAGTCCGCAAGCCATCATGATGGATAGTCCTTTCTTCAGGGAGCTCAGGATGAAATGAATGATTACAGATTTGCATTTGCCTGTTCTGCTCCAGCCATTCACTGTTCCAATTAGCATTCCTGCCAGCACCCTCTGTGGTGCACAGACAGAAAAAGGCAGAATGCAAAAGGGACCAAGTGCAGAGGCGTGGGGAGGGGGAAAAGTAAATCAATGAACAGTTATGGGAACTATTGACTCATGTTGATGGTCAGGGAGGAATTCAGTTCTACATTTTATTTTTTTAATAATTTTAAAATGATAGGTCATGGCCCCATATAACAAATTACAGCGTCATCCAGAATTAAATTATATCAGAAAAAAACCCTAAAGTACTTAGAGGATGCCATTGGCTGTACCTTTGGAAACAGATTGATAATGCACCCAAAGCTGTAGGTAGCTGTCCTGTGTCCTGGTTTTATGTAGAAAAGAGGTTTTAAAAGACATAAGTAAAATACAGTGTTTCAAACTGTTATTGCAGCATTTGGGGATTTGGTATCTTATGGAGAGAAAAACCCTCAGAATATTTCATCACCATCCAACTTGACTTCCAGAACCCACATGTTCAACAACATCCTCAGTTTTGGGAAGGTAAGTCTGTATTTGCATAATACAGTGTGTATCTTCATATTAAAAGAATTAGAAGCTCAAAGTACCAAAACACAGCTTTTATTACTTTAGGATCTCCCCTATTATGTGTTATATTTCCTTTTTTTTTTGGGAACAGTGATTGTGGGTGGATTTTTAAGCTTTGTGATGAGTTTTTTATCCTCTAGGCAGAAACCAGGCAAACCTTGAGGCATAATACCGTGAAATACAAAATATAGTCACACACAATAAACACTCTGAGATACTTTGTTCAGAACTTGTGTGAGTTAAGATGTTTGCAGTATATTTTCTTTCTTATGAAATTAAAGATACGATGTCACAGGCCTTGACATTCAAGGATTTATTTGCCCATGATAGTCCTGCAGTGGCATCAGAGGTGCTGTGTATTTATTGTATAGGTATTTAATATTTATAGAATCTATTCCTTTGTAGTAGAAATCTGTTACAATGTAATGGACACTGCTTTTGTGTTTCGGTGTCAAGGCCTACAAACACTTTTGTGAACGTTTCTCTTTGTAATAGATGAGGAATTGGAGGGGTTTTAGTGACACTGTTCAGCTGTTAGAATTCTGTCTACATGCAAGTACCGTAACCACAATGCTTTTCTGATATTCCTGCTGTCCCTTAAAAAAAGTCTCATCACTGCATTTAGAACCATCCCAAATATACAGTATTGCTTTACAGCCACCCTGAATGTTTTGTTGTCCTTTCAGAACCAGCCCCAGCACTCCACTGCAGGGACCCTCAGGGCCCTGCTGTGCCAGGTCCTGTCACGGTACCTGGCACATCCCGGTGCCACGGGAGGGAGCATGGCAGCCAACATCCACCACACCTTCTGCTCCACCAACTCATCACTTCTGGAGTCCTTTGCCCAGGAGTTCAGGACCCAGCTCTCCCAGGTGAGTGCCTGGGACCTTCCCTGGGGACTGCAGCTGGGAGCTGTGGCAGTTCACACAGTCAGGCAGGGTTTGGGAGCTACAGCACGGCCCCTCGTGGGCAGGAGTTGCTCATCTCTGTACCTAAGTAGGGCACAGTGAGGCTGAGTTAATTCTTGTGCATGGGCTTAGCCCAAAGACCTCCAAGCTGAGTGGAAAGCCAAGCATCATCCAGTCACCAACTCATGGCCACTAAAGGTTCTCACCACGCCTGGGCCTTGCTTCTCTTCGTTTGCCCTTCTGCAGTGGCAGGTCAATGGAACAGCGTGAGGATGTGGTGTAAATAAGAATGTTTAAACCTTGGGAAGGCAATAAATTTAATTGTGTATTACCTCAGCAGTATAACTTCATCCAGTGACTCCTGCATCTGATCCAACAATTCATGATTGAAGCAGTACTTGTCTTTGGGAAAGCAATATAATTAAAGCAAATTAATCCTTTAAAGATAAAGCCGCCGCCTTCTTTTTTTTTTCTTTGCCAAGGTTAGGATTGATATTAATTTTCTTGTATTGCTTAGTCTTTGGACTCTTTAGGACATTGTGAATCGTAGGGCTTGTCTGAACAGAGAATTTATTGTACAACCTGGGTTTGAAGGTAAAACACAGTCACACTCTCAGTTATTGCCTGTCCTTTGAATGTATTGTTTGCAGACTTGCATGCAAGTGCAGTGCCAGCTGAAAAACATAAAAAGACTCCCCAGCAGCAAGGCTTCTGGTTATTAAATAATTTCTTCTGGTTCTTAAATAATTTCTTACATTTTATTTGTAAAGGTGGAGCTCAACCCACAGTACCAGGAGACCTTTGTCAAGGAAATTGTCTCATTTCTGACACTCATCTCCCAAGTGCAGAATGACACCTCCCTGTGGCACCTGCTCTTACTGGCCCCACATGTGTTTCAGGACAACATGCATCTGCGAGACATAAATGTTTTCCTTCAGAATCCAAGCAGGTAAAACAGAGAAAATGGCAGGAGAAGCACTGAAAGCTGGTGGGTTTGTGTACTGACCTCTAAGGACATCACCTCTCCTCTTGGAAGAAAGGTGTTACCTTAAAAGCATGATTTGTTTGGGGAAAGATGCAGCTCCATGCTAATGCATCTCTAAAGGTGTCTGTGGACTGTGAGCAGCGTGTTGTTTTTCAGTGACTCTTGTGTTATTCTTTTAATGGGAACTTGGTATAAACTCTGGAGTTTTCTCCCAGCCTGTTCAGAGGCACTGTCATGCCCTTGTGCAGATAGAAAAGCTGGTGAGTCACAGCCACTGCCTTTGGTGGAAGCAAAACCCTCTTGGCTGGATAAAGAAAGCAGCCAGCTGCTTTTTTCCAGAAAAGCACAGAGCCAAGTTCAGGTTGCTTTGGAACACCTCAAGCACTTGCAGAGGAGCCATAATGTTGTTTTTTAAAATTGATTAACTAATCTACTGCTGGTTTAATGTTTCAAGACTGGTCCCGAGAAAGCAGAGAAGAGAGGGAGCCTGGTTTTCTTTTCTACCATATGAGCTTTAACATGTCTGACTAGAAGAAGGAAGTGCCAGTTATGTACTTGCTCAGTGGTTGTATGACAAACAGAGCTGGCTTAACTGCATTATTTAAGTGTACTGAAATATTTGATGCAGTTCACACCTAGGACAATACACATTTCTTAAACGGGCTTAGCCTTGAAATCCGTTTCCTGCACTGTAGTTTGGCTAAACTCTCCCTGATCTCCAGAGGGCTTGAGTTACTCAAGATTAAGGGACTCTGTTCCAAGTCATCTTCTGGATGTGTGACTGACCCTGCTATAAAATATTCTGGATAGTCCAATTATTACATTACATAGAGGACACCAAGAAACCGAATGGCTTCAGACTGCTTTTTGTTTTTGTCTTGCATACATGAGCAAGACAAACACCTTGGGTTAAGGTCTCATAAGAAGTTGTAGAAGCTTTGCCACTTTGATTGCACCCAGTGAGAGATACTCACTTTTGATCACTGGTGTGTTGCTGAGGCACTTAAAAACCTGTACATTTAATATCAAGGTAATTTTCCATGCTGCATTGTGAGACCCATGTGTAAGCTGTAATGGCCTTATCCTTAGAGGAGTCAGTAGCAGTGTGGCAAGAATTGTAATTTTATTCAGAAGCATTTTGTTCATGCTGCTGTTTCAGTCACAGGATTATTACATTTGTTTGCATTTACTGGCTTGCAAAAACCAGCCTGAGAAGCAGCCCTGTTGGAGTGCCCAGGGAGAATTAATACTGACTGTGCTGCTCTGCTTTGCTCTACAGCTGCAGAGCTGGGTGAAGTTATCACAGGCACGACAAAGAGGGACATAGAATTTCATCACCAGAACTGTGCAGTGCCTTTATGCCTGGCATCTGGCACTGTAAATGCATGAGTAAAGAGTTATTGCAAAGAGATTGCACAAATAGTACTTTTAATGATGCTTACAAAAGCACATCTTAGCGAGCCTGGCCACGTCTCTCTTACTCAGGCAGGACTGAACTCCTAAAGAAGTGCTGTACAGGGAATTTTTAGTTGTTGTAGAAATATGAAGGTATAGAAAGAAAGAACTTTTTCCCATTGTAGCATCTGTATTAACCAACTGATAAACACCACCAGTGTGAAACAGTAACTTCCAACTCATGAATCCTATAGAAAATTTAGCAGCAAATCTTATTACCCACAGAAACCTGTTTTGCAAACTGATTTCACAAATGTTCCTGTTTGTTGCTGTAAGATAGTTTTTCAGCTAAGCACATAAGCTGAGCTTTTTCTTCACAGCCAAAGTCTGCAGAAGCCTGCAAGACTGAAATAAAAGGGCAGCAACAACACTTGTTTCCATGTTTGCTGCCTTCTGATCTGCGTGATGTGCATCCATTTTTGGCAAGCATGTGCCTGTCTCCTCCTTGGCTCTGCCATTGCTCAGCTAAATATGTCATTTATAACTGAGTTTCTTCCCCTCTAAGACTCTTACAAGCACATCTGCAGAATGAAAATGATGAGCACCAAGCCCACGAAGCCTGCATGGAGACATTATGTTAAATTAGGAGAGACGAGATCCCCGGTGCTCTGTTCTCAGTAGCAGCCCGTTCCCACAGATCACTATGTATTTATTCATGCCACTGAGATCAGCCCAGCCAGGTTCTTTGTGTATAACTTCACAACTTCAGATGGAGCATTTCAGTGACCCCACATCTACAGTGAAGGCTGCTCTTTATACAGGAGAAAAAAAAAAAAGGGACTAAAAATCACAGTGAAGTTTTCAGTAACCTGTACACCTGAGCAGGCAGCCCTTTAAATGAGTTCTTCTGTGATACAATATGCCTGATTATCAGCTTGTTCCTTCCTAAGACTGAAAAACATTCCTTGCTTCCCTGTCAGCCTGGCTATTACAGCATAAAAAAGGGAAGAAGGAGAATTGGAAATGGCAACAGTTATTTGTGATTGCTTCTTCCTTCCACAAATGTTTTTCCCCCTGGGATTCCTGCTCTCCCTGGAGCCTTGTCTCCTTGGTTCTTGGGGGTTTTAGGAAGAAATTCCCCTGAAGCAGTGAATCACATGACTGGTGTATCACCTTGGTGTTTTCTGAGACCTGCTGGCTGGATTTTAGTGGCTGTAGATTTTACATAACTCTCTGGAAAAGTGCACCAAATGAGTGCTACACGTGTGTTTGTGCTAATACTCCACCGTGGCTTTCCCATCAAAGCCCCCGGTGTTTGTATCTTATGCATGATCAAACAAATATTTAAAAATAGGGGTGATGTCTTGTCTGTCAGACATTTTAAGAATGATAGGCTGTACTCCAGCTGTTTCCTATTAGAACATTTGTTTTATCTCTTCTCATAAACCTGTAACCACAATTTATTTTCCTTTCCCCCCCACCTCTTTCAGTGTTGTGCTGGCAGCTCAGAATGTCTCTGCATCTCTTGTGAGTGATGATAGATTTGAAACTGTTCAGAATGAGGTTACAGATTCTCCACATTCCCTGAACTGCTTGGAGCAAGGTAAGACTCCTCTATTGAGCCCTATCTCTGCTGAAAACCTGTGGTGCTGAGGAGAAGCAAACTGCAGGCTAATAAGTAACCATACAGATTGCACACTGTTCAGGGCTCAGCATAATGGATTCTTCCTTCAGCTTTTTACAAACGTGAATAAAGTTCCTCATTTCAAATGGAAAAGTAAAAAGGCTTGGGTTTGTCAGTAGACAATGAATTAACATGAGTTTGCAGCCTCAGTGGAAATGGGGAGCAGTAATGTTTTACCTTGATTTGCTTTTTTTTGGGGGGTGATGTCAAAATCTGCCTCTGGTTGTGGACTCTTGTCAAACACAGCTTGGTGTTTCAAGGCAGGGGCTGGGGCTGGGCTGCACAATGAGCTGTTTATATCCAGATGAGCCAGTCCTTTAAATCCCTGTCCCTTCCAGCTGAGATAGTCCTAGATACCCCCCTATAACTGGGGGTCTGTGAGCAGGCAAGGGAAAGGAACAGCAACTCAATGCCGTAAGGGGATTCAGTTCTGCAAGGGACAGATGGGGATTGCTGTCCCTTCTTTACTTGTTTTGCAGAGACTGTGGAATTTGAGGTGGGTAAGAAGAAAGATGAGGTGGGCAAGTAGGGAAAACATGGAAAGTGGCTGGTGAGAGGACTGGACACACAAGGGATATCAAGATGAGTTTAAATGGTGGTGGGAGACATAAATGGTGCTGCAGACAGAGCTTATATGTGAGCACTAAAAAAGCAACCTTAAATGAAGGGAAAAAAAAGCATAATAAATAGTTGGCCACCTTACTGTGCATTACTGACAGCAAAGTGCTCCTAAAGCAGGAGGAGACCTCTGTTAGCATCCAGATCACAGGAGCATTGCATTGTTCCTGAAAGTCATTTCTAGGATGCCAGGCTGCATCCTCACTTCCCTCAAAAGGCCAGGAAGAGTTCCACCCCAAAAGAACACTCAGATTTGTAACCAGTATATTGTGGCTTTTGGTAGGAGCCTAATTTCATATGTGCATGTTATTGTGGATTGATTTGCCATTATAGCACTTCTCAGGTTCCAGAATTACATGATCTTTACTAATATGCTCTTCACATTTTTGTTGTAGATAAAGCAAGAAGTTGGGTGACCAGATTTATTTGTAATTCCTTTGTTCACTGGAAAGACAATCACACTTTAGTATCTGAATTGGAAGAAGTTCTGAGGTGAGACATTAGCTAAAGGGATATTACTAACAGTGTAATTCAAATCTATGATCTTTGCTCTAAATCACTTTACATTTCCACTTGCATTGATTTCATATTCACTAAAACACTTTTTTGTTCCCCTCCAGAAAAATAAAGTCACCAGAGATTGGTGGAAAGCACTCCAAGAGGTCCATTAATTCAGATGATTTAGAAGCCATACAAAAGCATCTACATCGTTTAAAAGGCTTTGAGGAAAAAATGAATAGAAGTGAATTAAAAAGCTTAAATCTATTCAGAAATTTGAAGAATGAAACATTACAGAAATTGTATGCATTTCTTGAACTGGGAATGAATCCACATCATGATAATAAATTAAAGGAACCATATAATAAGGAAATAATTGATGAAATCTATAACTTCACATCACCGCAATTACAGAGCGACTTTATTGGGACTTCCATTCTCAATACAATGACCCAGTGGCAAGAAATTCAGAGGGCTTTAAAATTAGCCGCAATGCTTTGGAATCCAGCTCTCCTAAATGATTCTAATTTTAGTACATTGCAAACTAAGGATGCTCTCAAAACGTTGCTCTCCACAAGCATTCCATCACTTCTGGAAGGTCTCAGAGACCTTTTGAACGGAATGCAAGAAATCCCATCTGAGTTTTCTGATGATCTGCTTGAGCCTGAGTCCTACAGAAACTTCCCAGAGCAGCTCCTAGCTCTCCAGAGGATGTTTCTTAGAAAGACAGGCACAAATGTAGGTTATCAGTACCTCCTGCTGCCTGTGTTTGAGCTGATGAGGGGCGTAGAGAAGTCCATGGGTGAGGCCTGGTGGGATGAGTTGAACATCTACTGGCGCCTTGGGGAGAAGCTGAGATCCATGAAGTGGAATAACACAGCCATTGTAGCCTATGGGCAGTTCTTGGAGGTGTTAGAAAGCCATTTGCAAAAGCTGAATAATAAATCAAGTGGTGTCTTCAGTGAAGAATTGGATCAGCTGTCAGAATTGATAACAGCCGTGTTTAAAGAGTTTGGGGAAAGCCCTGGAGTAGCCAATATCTCACAAGTCACTCAAGCCATCCAAAAGACATTGAACATATTAAAAGACTTACAGCTGAATTATAATGTCAGCACATTAAAATCTATAGATCTTTTCTTTAATTTTAACAATAAAACCTTGGAGAGCTTGTCTGAACTTGTGAGAACAGGAATGAAAATCCTTCATCATACAAGTGTCAGTGAAGATTCCAGTGAAGACATAATTAACCCTATCTATAATTTAACACATCTTCTACTGCAGGAGTTCAGCCAGTCTCCCTCACAGCACAATACCTCACTACAGGCAAAAATCTGTGAGTTCCTTCATGTAGCCTTGGGTCCTTTCCTTGAGAACAGCAGCAATGGCTACAGGACACTCCAGAATTGCTCCTTTGAAGATCTGCTCAATGTAGCTCTTGAGGTGCTGTTTGAAAATGCCACTCTAAGGGAGGCCTCAGCCAGGAGCCCCTGCAAGCCCCTCTTGGATTCCTTGGGCATGGAAGGTGGGACAGGGAGCAATGCCACCTTCACCAGGGTGTTCCAGCTGGCCATGAGCAACCTGAAAGTGTCCTCAGAGTTTGCTGCTGCCTACAACAACAGCAGGCAGCGATTTTTCAAGGAGCTGTCTTGCCTCACCCGAGCTCTGAATTTCTCTCTGAGTTTCCTTTCCAAGTTAAACCTTGTCTCTGAGCTGGGCAACTCGTGGCTCCAGGAGAAGGTGAGAGCTCTGAGTGCAGCCACGGAGGGGCTGGTGCAGGGTGATGCCTCGTGCCCCATGCCAGCCCAGGATGTGGGTGATGTGTCCCCATCCCAGCTTTTGAACCTGCTCCTTCCTGCCCTGCTGAATGAAACAGTGCTGAGCTCCCTGAATTCCTCTGACAGCTCAGCAGGCTGGGATGATTTGCCTGTGTTTTTCCTCCTGTCACCACCTGCTTCCATGAGGAACACCAGTCTCTATGAGCTGCTGCAGGTGGGCAGAGCTGCTTCCAGCCAGCCCGAGTGGGGACACTTCTCCCGGCTGTGGCGTGCCACTGGCAGCCTGCTGACCTCCAAATGGAGCCTAACAGAAGTGGATGAATATGTGGAACTCCTGCAAATTATGAAGAAAGCTCTGATCCTCGTGGACTTTGGGGTAGCTCCTGCAAAAGCATTGGTGCATCAGATCTTTCATAATTCTACTGAAGCAATTACATCCTCAGATCTGAGTGATTTGTATAGTTCATTAAAACTCTTTTTCACCTCAACTTCTGCCACAGACAGCACACTGGAGTTGGAAAGAATCTTTCAAGAAATACTTCCTCTGTATGAAGGGGGTGGTGAAGGATTGTTCTACACTAATCCCTATGGAAAAGAAAATCAAGATGTTCTGACTATGGCTGCATTGATTTGGAATGAGATAATTTTAAACAGGACTCATTTTAATACAGAGAATGCATGGGAGGTTGTCAAAATGATTGCACTCGATGCAATCTCGCTTGAAGACATTGAAAATTATCTCAGCACAAATGAAAAAGTGTCATCATTATTTTCTGAATTCTTGTTGACCCCCGGAACTTCTGAAAATTTTGCAGAACACCTTCTGTCCCTTGAGCAGCTTCTTGGTGCCATGGCAAAGGTGAATACCAGTGATCATTATCTGCTGATCTCTTCTTTGTCTGAGCTGATGCAGAAACTCCCTCCTGGAAGGCAGGAAAATGAACTTGGTGCTTTCTGGCACATTGCTGAAGGTCTCCAGTCGTTGAACTGGAATAGTACAGACAGTCTCACTGCTCAGTCACTTCTAGAAATGCTGCAAAATCTGCTAAATATGATGAAAAACGACTCCAGTCTTCCTTTCAGTAAGGAACTGAAGCAGCTGCTAAACTTTGCATTCTCCATCTTTGAGCTGTATGATGAAGAAGACTCCAGGGGAACCAATATCTCCATGTACTTGCAGGCCATGCAGAGGGGTATCTCAGCTTTGAAAGGTTTGCAGGAAAGGTATAACATCAGTGAACTTGAACCTATCAGCCTGGTACTTGATTCTTACAGTAACTATACCCAGAGACTGATGGAAATTTGGAGAGCAGGAATGAAAGTTCTTCATGACACCAACTTAAACAAAACATTGGAGGAAAAAATGGACATTGTCTATAATTTCTCACAATTGCTGCTGCAGGAGTTCATCCAGTCTCCCTCACAGCACAATACCTCACTACAGGCAAAAATTTGTGAGTTCCTTCATGTAGCCTTGGGTCCTTTCCTTGAGAACAGCAGCAATGGCTACAGGACACTCCAGAATTGCTCCTTTGAAGATCTGCTCAATGTAGCCCTTGAGGTGCTGTTTGAAAATGCCACTCTAAGGGAGGCCTCAGCCAGGAGCCCCTGCAAGCCCCTCTTGGATTTCTTGGGCATGGAAGGTGGGACAGGGAGCAATGCCACCTTCACCAGGGTGTTCCAGCTGGCCATGAGCAACCTGAAAGTGTCCTCAGAGTTTGCTGCTGCCTACAACAACAGCAGGCAGCGATTTTTCAAGGAGCTGTCTTGCCTCACCCGAGCTCTGAATTTCTCTCTGAGTTTCCTTTCCAAGTTAAACCTTGTCTCTGAGCTGGGCAACTCGTGGCTCCAGGAGAAGGTGAGAGCTCTGAGTGCAGCCACGGAGGGGCTGGTGCAGGGTGATGCCTCGTGCCCCGTGCCAGCCCAGGATGTGGGTGATGTGTCCCCATCCCAGCTTTTGAACCTGCTCCTTCCTGCCCTGCTGAATGAAACAGTGCTGAGCTCCCTGAATTCCTCTGACAGCTCAGCAGGCTGGGATAACCTGGCCATGCTCTCCAGGGTGGCACAGGATGAGCTCCAGAACCTGCTGCAGAGGCTCCAGGGCACCTTCAACCTCACTGAAGGCAATTATTACACAAGTGTCTGGCATGTGTTTGGCAGCTTCCTCAGCACCAAAAAGGATCCAACAGAAGGAGCTTCCCTTGCAAGGCTGTTGGAAGCAGTGGCAAGCGACTCTGCCAGTGATCTGTCAGCTCTGGAAATCACAGAAGCCACCCTCTACATTCTCAAGGAGCTGAACATCTCTGGCCTGCTAAATGAATTTAATATAAGTTCCAGCTCAGCTTTTCTCTCCAACAAAACCAGCTTTGACAGTGTGATTGATATAGTTGCTCACCACTTTACTGTCGTGGCAGAAACCTTTTACAACAAGACCCTGCCTTGGACCCTGAGTGACCACACTCTGTCCCCAGCCAGCTTGATCACACGGTGAGTTTGGGTTGTGGGTGTTGTAATTCCATGGGTGGGCTGTGACCATCATTCTCATTCCAGCATGAGAAGTATGGAATTTTCGTCCAGTGGAAGAACCTAAGCCTGCACTCACTGTAATTTAGGACACAAAGTATAATGTGGGTTAAAGTGAAGAAGAGGAATCTTCTCCTTGAGCTGAATGTACAGCTAAAAGTCAGATTTACAAAAAATTTTGTGTGTTGGCACGTATCAATGCACAGTGGAACAGAGTCCTGAAGGAGTCTCACCACCTGTGTCAGGCTCTTCCTTTGTGGGATGACTCTCTAATTTTTGATCCTCAGTCTCCCTTAGGTGTGCCTTTCCATCTACATAATGCATCCATCACATAGATGTGAACTTTTCAAGTGTGTTTTGAGAGTGAATGACAGCTTTGGGAAATAACAGCAGAAAACGGATGGAATAAAACTGGGAGGGTACCCACTTAGGAGAGATGGCTTTCATCTGGAATTTCTGTTTACTCTGCCAAGGAACAGCATCCACAGCTGACAGGTTGCTCACTAATATATACCTTGTTTTTGAAAGAGAAGCTGATTTAAATTCCTATCTTATTTTTCAGATTTCTGTTTTTAGAATTTGAAAACACCATCTTGCAGGTGACAGCAAATAACAGTTATAACCCTTACCTGATGTGTTTAATAAATGCCGTGGAAGCTGAAGATGGGGAATTGACAGGTGATCAAGGTTTCATTAACTCTGAGGGGCCTCAGCTGCAATGTGTCCTGCCTGTGTTTTGTCTAATGGTGGGAAGGCATGGTGCTGCATGGTTTTATCTGCTGGGGATTATGTGAGACCTGGGGAAGCCAGACTCGGGTTTGGTTTGAGGTATGTCACATTGTGATTATGAGTTTCCATGCCAGTCTCTCCAGAAGGCACATTTCCTCTTCTCAGTGTGATGACAGGTTGCTGACACTCACACAAAGCAATCTTTACCAATAGAAACCTCTTTCCCTTCACAGCTTTGTGTAGCTGTAATATGACAGCAGTTATTTCTCAGAGTTAACATGGTCTTTCACACAGATACTCATAATTTGTGCTTATTGTAATACCTGACAGGTTTTACCTGTGCACCAGTTACCAGGATGGGATGGATTTCACTAGGAACAGAGCACTTACTTGAATTCAATCCATTATAACCCAAATTACAATTTAGGCCTTGCTCTGTGATTTCAGAGGTCCTCAGCTGTGAGAGTTTGGTGGAAAGTAGCTATGCTCAGTTGGCCTCACAATAAAAGTGCTGATATTCCCATCTGTGAAGTTTCTGGCATTTTTGTCTGGAGTAACTATTGTTTTTTTTTCCCCTGCACAGAAAACATCACACTGCTTTTGAAGCAAACTCATCTGAAAAAGGACTCTTTTATGCAAAATAATACCTCTGAGAAACATTCATCCATACCAGAGCTCCTGAAGCTAAAAGTGAGTCTGCTTAAAATGCTGACTTGAAGGACATCCTGCAGTGATACATGAATGTGCAATGATAGTTTTGAAAAACAGCATATGGAAAAAAGTTTTCTTAAGAGAACAGCTGATAAAAACTAGGACTAAAACTCTGTTTTCTGCCTGCTGCCTATATTTGAAGGTCACTTGTAAACTGGGTTGAGGAACTCGTTCTTTTATCTGTCCCTACTGAGTGTACACCCATTTTTCAGAGCAAGCAGAGGTGTTCCTGTCCTCCCATGTGCTGGGTAGGTTGGTTCTGTTTTCCACCAGCTGTCCCAGAAGGATGAGCACTGCAGAGATGGCCAATGGCAGCATATTCCTCAGTGCACCAGTAGTTCTGAAGTTCAGTATATTGAGACTTACTGAAGCACCTTGCAGAGCTGAGATCATTCTGGGATGCCTCAGCTTCACTTGAGGGAGGAGTTCTCAAAGGAACAGATAGGGATTGGATACCTCTGCTCTGCTGAAAATCCATGGAATTGTGCACTCCTAATTGGCAGTTAGAAGCATGACTAACTGGGTTACTGCTGTGCCTAAGGAGCTGTACCAACACCCAGGCTGGCTAGAGTCAAGTCCCCACATGCAACTCTGGCCCCAGATGTCTCACAACACCAGAATGGCTTCTGAGATTAAACACCACTATTGATTCCTGGAGTTCCCTCACCAGCTTTGGGTTTGGCAATACCTCATTTAAATAAAATGCTTCTAAGCCCATGCATTCATGACTGCACTAATAGCATGCCTGCACTTTAGTCTATTGCTCCATATGAGAAATAGCATTTAAAAGTCCTTTTAAAAAAATACAGCACTATGCAATGTTGTTGCTGTGTAATATATCTGTAACAATAATATGATGAGCCTCAGAGTGACAGGTACTTAAAGGCATAAACCTGAAAATAATTCTTCCCATAAGAGCCTGATAATGTAAATAATGATGTCAGACAAGAGGGAAGCCCATAATAGCAAAGGACTATAATTTACACGGGTTGGCAGATGAGGAAGCTCTGACTTCTGGCCAAGTGTCTTTCCTGTGCTGCAGTAGATGACCAGGTGGTATCTGAAAGGCCAAACCTGTTGTGCAAGGTAGATTTATTTGGTCTCTGAGAAGATTAATTAGTAAAGAGGCAAGTGCAATGGAGTATTGCTGTCTGAGTGTGTTGGGCAGGGGAAATGGCATGTTAAGATTTGCAAGGTTTCTTAAATCCAGCCAGGTCTGCCAGAAGCTCACACTGTGATTATCATGAGCTGTTTTATTGGAGACCTTTTCAATGAACTAAATATATATATATTTTAAAATCTTAGTCCTAAGGAGAGACAGAAAGGGATAGCTAGACTCTTTAAAGCTTGCCTTTTATCATTCTGTCATCTAACTGGTGTTTGTGCATTTGTCTTCCTTTTTTCAATATGTCCTTTGAAGATCTCTCATCTCCAGGATCTGACAGCACTTCTGTGTGACTATGAGAGCTTTAAGTCAATCCAGCAGCTCTGCCACCTCCCTGAGGTTCCCTTTGGGGAGCTGTGTGAGCAAGGCCAGTCTCAGGAGCAGCTCCTCCGTGCTGCTGAGCTGAGCAGCCAACTTGTGACCAACATACTGAGCCACAGGAGGATCTCCCAGGAGCTCCAAAATGTACTCATTGGGGATGCCACAGACATCCAGGCACAGCTGAAGTGGTGAGGCTCTCCCTCTGAGCTAGACTGTTTTACTATTCTGTTTATGAAATGACTTCTTGCCTTCTCTTTATATTTTCAATTTTGTTTGTTGCTTTGTTTTTCTAATTCAGGCTTCAAGAAAATGTACCAGAAATTGCTTTCTTTCAAGAGATTCCTCAGTATATGGCTACTTTGAATTCCATGTTGAACATCACTGAGGGTCTGACAGACTCAAACAAGCAAGGTACTCTTTTGTAGTTTCTTTACAGTGTTGGTAAGCATCACCACTGGTACCACACTTTCTGCTGGAAATCCCAAGAATTGCCTAGCTGCCAGGAAGAAGTGGTATTAGTGAAATAACCATACACCATAACCTTGGGATCCTTTATCTGGGGTACTTCTAGAGCCTGTTCAAAGAAAGTGTGGTTGGGTTTTTTTAAAAAGAAAACACCAAGTCTTTCTATCTGAGCAAATTTTGCTGTCCTGAGATGTGAGAACGCCAGCCCACAAAACCAGACTAAAACATAAGAAGTAATTAATGTATGTTCCAAATTTTTTTTAGTTTTTTCTTAGCAGTGAGGTTACTTCACATAATGTCTTCTCTGTGTGCTTGAGACTTGATGTGTGTCTGGAGAAAGCTGTTACATCAATTGTTCTTTGACTGTTCATTCCAGAAAAGTTAAGAGATGTGTTTAAAAATGTGGACCAGCTCAAAGAGGACCTCAGAAACACAACAGGAATGTCCACAGCCAGCATTGATGCTCTTCTGGAAGCATCTTTCCCAGAAAACAGCAGTCAGGTAAGCTTGCTGTTATCCTTTGGGAGATCTTGTTGCTTTCTACTGCTCATTAAAACTATAATTTGTTAGAGAATGCAGCTAAGCAGGTCACTGGGTGTGTGACAGCACAGATGACCCTACAGGGATAGACAGCAGAGCATGTTATGGATTGGAACAGTCACCAGGAAAGCATCTCTGTTGCCAGCCCAGCCGTTGGAGACTGGGAGCCATATGGTCCCTTTGGCTGTCACCAGGAGCTGCCTGGAGAGGGATGGCTCTGATCCAGAGCAGGGCACAGCTCTCCTGGACACACTAGTGGGGGCTGAGCAGAGTCTTTAGTCAGGTCCTGGTCACTGTAAAGTTGTCCCAGTCCAGGTGGAAAAGTACATTTGTAACCACAACATGTGAGAGCACTCAGGGTCCAAAATACCCTCCCAGAATGAGAGATGAGCTTCCCTTCCCCAGCCTTCTGCTCCTGCAAGCAGAGCTCCAGATGCTTTTCCCCTTCCCAGCCATCTTGTGTGACTGGGCCCCAAAGAGCATGCTCTTTTCCAAACTTCACATGCATCAGTCAATGAGAAATTGAAGCCACAAAAGCTTTTACTACTGTGCAAGCTGGGTAGTAAAACACAGTCCTTAGGATTTGTCCCTGGGAGCAGCAGTAATGGGCAGGCATTTTCTTGGTTCTTGGGTGGTTGAAATATGGCACTGTGGAAAGAACAAGAGCCAGGCAAGATTAATCCACTCATGATGCAGGGCACCCCTAACAATTCTCTTTTCCCTTTGTGCACACCCAGCTCATCTCCCAGGTGCTGCAGCTGGAGTCCTGCAGTGCCCATCCCACTGAGCCACAGCTGCAAGTGGTGGTGCAGGAGTTGTGCAGCTTCCCTCTGCCAGAGAGAACTCGCAGGACCTACCTCCTAGGGGTCACCCTCTTGAGACACTTGGACATTTACAATTTCTTATACAAGGTTAGTGCTGGATTTTTAGAGTGCTTTCTACAGTCTTTGCTGCATGCCCTGGCTGAAAGGTTATGAAATATCATTGCAGTGGCCAGAAGCTACACTGATTTACACAAGCCAAAGATCAGGCTTTGCTCATGCAGCAATTTTTATTGCATATCCATGCTGTGACAGCATGGATATAAATGAGAATCCCAGCTGGTGTAAAGCAGCAAACCTCATTTAAAGGCACTGGACCTATTCTAAATGCCTCCCTATCTGCTAGTATCCTTTATGTGCTGTCACAACCTCTTGAACACTCCCAGCTGACCCAAAAATAAGGTACTGAGCTAAATTTTGTGATTCCTTGAAAAGGAAAGCCCTGGAAAAAGTCCTGTAAAATATATTTTCCCTATCTCTTTGTAACTAAAAAGTTATTAAATCATGCAAATTTCCCCCCAAATACAGAAACAGCATCTAAGAAAACATTCTTGGAGAAGTGAATAGTGAACATGTATTTAAAAATACAGGAGTAATCCTGGGCAAAAAAAAAAAGTTGTTAAATGACCATGCCAATGAATTTGGGCTCAGGTCAAAAGTCACTCATAGTGTTTGACACCTGTGCTATGTGAAATGAGAGATTTGATCATATCCCAGCCAGTAGGTGACACATATTTCCCAACTGTAGGTGTTTGAAAACACATTGTTAGATTATGTAATATTCAGGGGAATGGTTTGCAAAAGTGCTTGGGGATTTAGGAATTCATTTCCCATGGGACACCCACTCTGTAAAGCCTCCTAACAGTTTTGGAAATCCCACAGTGCTCATGTTTGAGTTGACACAATATGGGCGTGTGCCTGCCTGTGCATGCAGATTTGTGCTGATCATGATTGATTTCCTTCCTGCCTCTTGCAGATGTTTTTCCCCAAGGAGCTTCAGAAACCCATGGACAAGATGTTAGGCCTTCTGACAAAAATGAAATATTTCAGACACCAGGTTGAATCTGGCATTGATCCATTGCTACAAGCTATTCATTCCCTGAAAAAGCTCCGACAGTCCAGGAAAATGCCACTGACTAAGGTATGTGTAGTGTGCATGTGCTTCAGAGGCAAAATACCACTGAAATGGTTTCCACAGTTATTTCTTGCCCTAGAAGCCACGGGTGCATTCAACCATAGATTCTTGTTTTGAAGCAACAGTGTTCTGAGAAAAAAGCTCTATCAAACTTATCTCTGGATGTGCTCAAGGCCAGGCTGGATGGGGCTGCTGGCAGGTGTCCCTGCCCATGGCAGGAGGTTGGAATGAGATGAGATTTATGGTCCCTTCCAACCCAAACCATTCTGTGCTTCTATGTTGCCTTCCTGGGAGAGTTTTGATTTGGGACCATCACGTGCTCATGGGTGGGGAACATGTGCTGTGGGAGAAACATTTGGAGCAAGAATGTCTTGAAGGAGGGAGGATCAGCAAAATACTGGAAGGATCAACTGGTGAAAACAGCTAGAGAACTGCCCACTAAAGCAAACCCACCAAAACGAGCAGCAAAAAACTGCCTTAGCTTTAGTGTGCATTAGATCACACCCAAAGCCTCAAGACTGCCCAAAGCATTCAGTACAAACCCATTACTGCTCTGACAGCTGCAGTAACTCCAGGGTGCACTGCCTTCATCCAGCATGGTGTCCAATCCATCTCTGATCCACAGTCCAGGAGAACACAAGTGACAGGAATTGTTCCTGGTCATCATTCTGCCTGCACATTGCAGAGCCACGTGCAGCCATCGACTAGGTGGGGACAGTGATGTGCACATCCATGTGACAAATCTGTGCTGTAACCCAGGTGTGTGAATGTCACCAGGCACACATTATAGGGAATTTCTCTGCACACATTGTAGGCACTTCCCACACTGGCTGTCAGACCTGGAAATAAATGTGCCACCTCTGTCATAATCAAAAAATGCATGATTTCCATGGGAAGTTCCTATTTTTATAAAGGCAGACTTCTCATAAGAAGGAAGAATAAAAATGTTCAGTCCTTTCCTTCTCATTCTATTATTTCTCTCCAAGTGGGGTGCTTTCAGCATGCAGGATTTATTTGTGTTTGGTCTTTTCTGCAGGCATTATTTAAACCAAACAACACCAGGATAACACATGGCACTTTTAAATCCATGTCAAAAGTCCTCTGCAACCAGGAGATCACACCCCTGTTTTTTGAGTCTTTGCTTCCAGACTTTGGAGACCCTGTAAGCAACAGTTCTCATACAGAGGATGTCTATGTCCAAAAGCTGATGAGGAAATATGGGATTCCTCAGGATTCCAGTAAGTCTGGCTTTTCCCTAAGGCACAAACATTTCAAAGCTGAACTCTGCTATTTCCAGACAGATCTAGTGCTGAGCTATTCTCCATATGTCTCTGAGGGCTCTAAGTCCTCATTATTTATGGTAGCTGAAGATCTGCACTGCTCTAATTATTGGTGGTTTATTTTCATAAATGTTCAAAGGGAAAACTGCCCGTGCAGCAGAGCAGTGCTTGACACTGAACTATCTCCCATTTGTTGATGGTCTGATCCTAGGGCTCGACAGGTCACTGCTTTTTCTTGATGTGTAGTTTTTCTGACTGTACTGACATTATTAGCTCCTCTGAGTTCACAAAACTCCATTTAACCTTCGAGCAGATAATGTTGGCTCCAACAGCGAGACTCTTGTTGTCTTGAGTTCAGCAACAGGAGATCTTGGGGGTGGATTGCTTTTGTCAAGATGCATTAAATCAGTCAGTGAAGAGGGCCCTAAAGTCATTCACTGGCCACAGCAACAAACTAGGCAGATGGGAGAAAAAACACACTGGTAGCTTTCTTGTGTCTGGTCTGTTTGTTCTCTGTGCAATTTGTTTGCTTTTCTCCCCTTGCAGCCCCCTTTTGCTTATCCTTTTACCTGGACCTGGTCAAGACCCCGACTGGAGCTTTGATTTGGTCTTTCTTAAAACCAATGGTGCTTGGGAAGATCCTTTTCACACCAGATACCCCAGAAACTCGAGCAATCATGGGAAAGGTATGGCTCTGTTCCAGGACATCAGGATGCACCCACTCCAAAGGCTTGGAATTTATCTAGCACAGGCTTGTTTCCCTGGGAAGCAAAGAGCTGCTTTCTCACTGTTTGGACTATTAATCAAATTATCTTTTCCTACTTGCCTTGCTGGCCATATGAGTCATCTTTGTCTTTGATTGAATCTTCCCTCCAGAAGCTGCTGTTGGTCTAATATTTATAGGACAATTGTTTAAGGTCTTCAGGTTATGAAGTTTCACCTCCATATTTTCAGCCAGTAGCAGAGATGTGCCTCCCAGGACAAATGCTGTAACCAGTTCACAGGCAGATCAGTGGTAGAAGGAAAGCAGATATTCAAGACATGCTCTAAATATAATATTTTTAAGTACTTGCATAAATTCAGTGTGTAAAGGGGCATTTTGCCAAACAATGAGTGGATGCTAGGAAAAATCCTAAGGAAAACAAATTTGGTCTCAGCCTGTTTTATTGATTTATTTATTGGTTAAAATCTGTAAGGTAATGAATAAATTAATCCTTATATATTGTGGGCTTCTTTTGTAGTCAAATGCAACCCTGGAGCATATGGCTGAGCTAGCCCTGAAGTCCCAGGAGTGGCTGGACCAGTCTCCTGTCATCATGAATTCACTGACTAAGTTAAACCAGACAGTTCCAATGATCAAGGTATGAATTCCTACCTCCCCTCTGTCTCTTGCCAGGAGGGAACTGGGAGGATGGATTTGTTCACTGAAGTAAACTGGGGTTCCAGGCACATCTTAGGTCAGCTGGGGAGACCCCTCTCAGGATATCCTGGACTTCACAGTTTCCATGCCTGCCTGTTCCCTTAATAGAGATGCTCCTGACTCACCTTTCCTTGCAAATTCTCTTTCTCAAATGAACTGTTTGTAAAATGCTCCCTGACCCTGGCCGTGCTGGGACCTGCTGGAGGGCCAAGATGAGCAGGGAACACTCTTCAGTTTGTAAATTAACTTTCTGCTTGATGGAGTGATCCAGCCAGCCAAGACAGGCAAGAAATGACTTTTTCAGAAAATGAAACAGTATCCTTAATAAGCATGTAGTTCTGGGTACACACGTAAGAGCTGGAAAATGTTTTGTACCTCAGTGAATGTAAATAAAATTTCTTTTTCCCCCTCCTAAGAAGCCTAGCCTTGCTTGGATACAGAAAGCACTAGACTGTAATGTTGCACACACTTGTTTCCCATTCTCTATAGTAAAAGTTGTCTCCTTTTTTTACAAAAATGAGATCCTTGGAACCCAAAAGCATTAGAAGTTAATTTTAGGGGCTGGAATTCATTCTAGCTCCCATGGCACCAAGAGAAAATCCAGAGTGAAGTATGCAAAAGTGAAATTAAATATTCTCTGCTGATTGCAGTCATTGGTGGAATAATGAAATATTCAGCCAAACAAAAACCTGTGCTGATCTCCAAGTCAAGTTTTGGTTGGCTACGTGTTGGGCACTGGCTGTGTTCACAAGACTTAAAACAGACACAAGGGAAATTTACTCCTGGAATAACTAAAACTATCCATGATTTTTTTGATGTGCCTGGTGGAGACTCAGTAGGCATCCTTTCAAAGAAGCACTGACTTGGACTCAGAGAGCTCTCTGTGACACTCTCATTGCTGGCATTTCCCCTTGCAGATTCAGAGTGAAGGGAGTAGGGAGGGGGCTGTACAAATGCTCAGTGAAGGCAGCTGCTCTGTTGTATTGTAGAAATACACAATGAGTGAGCTCAAGAGGCTTCTGGTCAAACTGATGCTTTGTCTTTATCTGCTTGTTGATAGAACGCCCTGCAGAATCCCTTTGTGCAGGTTTTCATCAAGCTGATGGTGGATTTGGATGCAGCTGAGCTCCTGAGTCAGATAAATGAACTGGGTAAGTGTGTCCAGATGTGCTGCCCTCTTCCTTACTTGTACTTCAGATCTAGGAGCTCCAGAGTCAGCCAGATGCAGCCATCACCTAGTCTGCCCTTCTCTGGCCCATGTTGGAGGCTCTAGGGCAAGGCAATCCCAGGTGTGATCCAGAAATCTTCCAGGGAAAAGACTCCTGGAGAGCAAAGTGCTGGTGTGAAGAGATGTTTCTCCTCTGGGTGTTAAGGGGTGGAGGGATGGGAGGCTTTGGCGCGGTGTGTGGCCACTGGAGGACACTGTTTAGCCATAATTATGACTTCAAATGAGCTACCTGGGACTGCTGGAAAATGTGGAGAGCTCTCTTGCATCGCGGCGAGGTTCAGATGGAAGGTTCTCCAGAGAAGAAAAGCCAGGGATCAGATAAACGTACCCAGGCTGATGGAGCCAGAGGCATCAATGCAGGAGATGCTCTGCTGCAGTTTGCTGTTCTCTGGTGGGCTTGCAAGGCCCTTCAAGGTGACATTTGCTGCTGTGCACCGTGAGAATCACCAGTAACAGTGGTGGTGGGTACATCCCTGTGAGTGCACATGGGGATCACAGTCCCTGCCTGCCTGGCCTTGCTGTCCCTACCTGCTTTTGCAGTGAGTGGCCAGGCTTGTCACCATAAATTTGGACTGTGCCAGCAAAGCCCAGCAGCAGCCAAGAGTGATTATAGTCTGTTGCAGTCATTTACATCCAGTTGGTGATGACCCTTGTGTTATTCATGAGCAACAACTCCTGCCTTAACTCCCCATAAAGCCACGGTGCCTGCAGCAGCTGTTTCATATTAGTTACCTTGCATTATGCAGCCACCTTTGGAACCTGCCAGCAAACAGCAGCATCTTTATTAACTGCAGCATCAGGTTCAGTCCACACATCAGCACAGCACACACAGCTCTGCCTTGATGTGCTTGGATAAAGCACATCCTCCCCTGGGACACAGCAGCTCAACAGGCGAGCTGATTACATCCTAAACCAGAGGGTGTGGAAGGAATGGTGAGCACCAAGAGCAGGTCTAAAGCCTCAGCAGGTTAGTGGGGATTTCTGATTTGGGATGGCTGTCACATCCCATTGCTGGCATCCTCCCAAAGGCAAACTCACGAGCATATTACAAATGATTAACATAAAAACTGGGTCAACAGCATGCCTTCATTGCATTGCTGAGTACAGAAATGTATTTCACACTTCATCGTTAGTATGATGGGTTTGGGGTTGTTTGCTTTCCTCCTTTCTGGTGTCATCATCAGTGTGAAGGAGTGGAATGATGGAGTGGGTTTTTGCTGGGTGTAGTGATGCTGGAGGGTTTGTTTGTGGGTTTTTCCCTAGATGATATCCGGCTGGAACTGCAGAACAACGCTGACATTGTGGATCAGCTGAACACTTTGGCTGCCCTGGCTGTGAACGTGTCCTCCTGCGTCTCCTTCAACCGCATCCAGCCAGTGCAGGACTTGGATGAGATGGAAGCCGTGGCTAAGGAGCTCTTCCTGAAGAATGAGCTCTTTGCAAGTATGTGACAGTCCCAAATCCCCCTGTTAATTAATTTTCACCTGATAGAATGTGGGAATGCAGCATAAAATATTTGGCTTTCCAGCAGCAACTGTTGTGGTCACAGCTCCCACTGCAGTGCAGTTGATTTTGGACCTGCACACTGAGGCCTCCTTTTCAAACCTCCTCTTCCCTTACTGTGGTCAGCTGGTGATTTCTCTGGGTTAATTCTCACTTTGAATAAAATCCCACTGCCCCAAGGTGCCCTTTGTGCAACCACTTTCTTTCAAGCTCCCACAGGGAAAGGTGCTTTAATCAAGAAAGATATCAGAGAATCATTCAGGAAGGTTGGAAAAGACCTTTAAGATCCTCAAGTCCAAATATGAGACAATTCAATTTATTAGAAGGTCATAAATCACTTGAGATATTCCAGCCAAGCACCATAATGATGTAGTGGCTCTTCTCAGTCACACTTTTCACATTTGTGAAATCAGACTGCAGAGAGGGGTGGAGGGAGCAGGAAATAGGAACTTACTTTTGTATCATTAATATATCTTAATATTTAAAGAAGGCCCTCAATTAGAATTTACTCATAAATCCTGTGACCTGTTTGGTTTTATACTTCGTAATTGAGGGCTAGATAGAAACTTCTGCTTCTCTTGGAACTTCAAACCCTGGTAATATTTGTCCTTTCCTGTAGTAGCAGTTTTCTTCTCTGTCTGTCTTCCATTCTCTGATATGTTTTATATATGGAATAATCAGGAAAAATGCTCTGGGTAGAAAAACTCTGAGGAAACCTTGTAAAAATGAGGAGTTCCTACATATCTGTGTGTGCTACTCCCGTGCTGTCAGCTCCAAAGGAAACCCTTTTCCCTGTAACAGTGGGGGGTGTTTTGCACCACTTAATTCATGGTTTGTCTTAAGTCTCTTCTGCCTTCACTCAGAGCCAGGATTAAAAAATACATGAAGGAAATGGATTTTTTCGTGTTTGGGCTTGGATGTTTGTTAAATCTTATCTAAAGTACAGAGGGTTCAGCAACACTTCTAACTACCAGCTAAAAGTGAGCAAAATGGAGCTGAATCGAGGTAGTTACAATGCCTTTTGAAGCTAAACAGTCCAATAGAGAATTAACACCTATATTATTTATACTTTTGAACCAATAATGAAATTTCTGTGACCCTCAATGCAGCACTGACTGTCCAACCAGAAACTACTGCCTGAAACCATGAAGAAGGAAGATGAGCACTGAAAGAGACACCACCCAAAATCCTCCATCTTGTCCCATACCTATTACTGTATTATAAAAACCTTCACATTTGAAATCACACACTTCTATTTCACTACACACCCATCATTTTAACTCCATCACTCAAATCTGGAGCCTTCTCCAAGACCTGAAGTCAAAAGCAGTGTTCTCCTGGGGGTCACTGCCAGAAAGCACAGAAAGCTCAAAAAACCCCAGATTTCTGGGATTGCAGCATTTCCCTTTCTTTTGCCAGGTATCATTTTCAGGATGCCTTCAAGCTCTGGACATTCAGTCCATGGGGGCCTGTCCCTCCCTCCTGTGCTCAATTACACCATCAGGATGAGCAGCAGGATAACCCAAACCACCAACAGGATCCGGGAGCGCATCTGGACCGTGGGCCCACACAACTCCACCTCCCAGAGCCAGATTTACAGCAGGGCCTTCATCTACATCCAGGACAGCATTGAAAGGGCCATTATTGAACTACAGACTGGCAAGAAACCAGAGGAAATTGCTGTTCAGGTCCAGGCCATGCCTTACCCCTGCTACAACAAGGATATGTAAGTTTGGGTGGCTTTTCACTTCATGTTTTGTGTCAACTCATCTTGTCTGGTGGAGTTCACCAGCTCTGCTGGTTTTCTTCATACCATAGCATAAAAATCATTTAATTCTGTTCATTTGAGTTTTTTTCTCAAGGGGTTTAAGAAAACTCTAAGATGGTCTGTTTAGTTTTCCTAATCTTTTGTTTTCTGTGCTGTCTTTATACATGGATTGTGGTGGTAACTGTAGGTTTTACAGCAGGTAAAATTCCCTGCCCCTGTTTTATTACACATAATGGGGTTGGGAGTTGGCAGAACTTGGGTTAAATACGAGTCTTGGCTTGTTCTGCAGGTGTTCACATGCAGACAATGCAGCAGAACTTGGAAAATGGATTTGTTGGGGAAAAAAGAATGCCTAGGTTTATGAGCTTTATGGTGGCCAAACTGAGTGGAAAACACATAGGGAAGGGATTTCAGTGTCCATCAGGGACCACTGGAGGATGTTCAGCAAGAAGTATTGAGAGATGTGAAGGTCACTGTGCCCTGACTGAGGGTCTCCCTTGGAGCAAAAGGATAGGCTGGACCTAGGAGCTTTTCCTACTGAAAAGCATCCATGTCAACTGAGTGAGCCAAAAGATTTTTTTGGAAGCTATAAGATATCATTTAGGAGCCACATCAGACCTGCTAATCTCCTGTGTCAGCTGTCACTGAAGTAGGAGCTGGAGACCTATAACCTCTCCTCAGGGCAGCAGCATGTGAAGTGCCCATCAGGATATACAGGCAGGAAGCATCCAAACCCAGTTCTGCAGCAAATTCCTGGCTTATTGCTGAGAGAGGCTTTTGTGCAGTGATGGACTGGCTGCTGGAAGCACTGACTCCAGTGCTGTCTGCTCCTTTTTGTTCTTGGGCTGCTGGGAAAACCACTTGCCTTTGGGTTTCCCTCCCCAACCTGGGTTCAGAGAGATGTGTTTCCTCAATTATTAAAATAACTCAAGGCTTTGGATTTGCATCCAGCAGAAATCATCACAAAATGCCTGCTTATCAATTGTTATTGCACAGTTGTCATCTTGTAGAGAAAAGGGAGATATATATATATATATAAACCAGTGCACAAAAAAAGTTGGGCTCTGCTGAATTTTTAGGGGCCTTTCCTGGTTCTTTATAAATAAGACTTCATTTGCATGGAAGCATTTCCTAAAGCGCTGGTTTGTAGGAAATTTTCAGCTTTACAGGTCAAAAAAAACCCCAAACAAATGTAATGTTCATTTCTCACTGTTATTCTACATTATTCCAGGAATAACACTGATTATGGGTTTTAAACTAGGTTTAGAAATTAAGGAGGAAAGCATAAGCCTTGCAGATGCAATGAAAGGAATCTCCTGCTATAAAAACTTGCTTTCCATGGCAAAAGGAGAAATTTATTGTTGGCTACTGTTTTGGTTGGTTGGGGTTTTTTTTGGTTTTGGGTTTTTTTGTTTGGTTTTTGGTTTTTTTTTTGTTTGTTTGGTTTTTTTGGTGGGGTTTTTGTTGTTGTTGCTTTTTTTTTAAATTTACACATGTGGCACTGGAAGAAGGTTTTAATTAAATTGAGGAGCCAAGAAATGTAACCTGGATCTGCATTGCCTGTCCTGTGGGGTGGTAGAACAGACAATCTGTAGGAAAGCATCCATATCTAGACTCCAACAGCAGGAAATATGGCCTGATCATGAAATTTGGCCATTATATCTGTGAACAGAACTGGGAATTATGGCTGGCTGCTGGGATGTTTCCAAATGGCAAGCAGCCCATCAGAGAGCCACTGCCCATGGCTCTTCCTGCTCCTGCCAGTGGTGCTGCTGAGCAAGGAAATCCCTCTGCAACTTGAAAAAAAATAAAAAAGATTCTGAGGAGTCAGGAGTTTGATGAATAGAAAATCCAATGCAATGGCAAAGGAGTCCTTTTTTATGTAATTATTAATTTTACTCCACATTTTGAAATATAAGCATGTCTTTTCCTGTACCAGAGTATTGTTCTGAAAAATATATTCTTGTATAAAGCCTTAATCCCCAGAACATTTAGTATTCAGCTAAAGCCTGCTTTTGCCTTTTACAGGTTCTTAACCAGCGTGACCTACTCTCTGCCATTTGCTCTGATGGCTGCCTGGGTGCTGTTTATAGCTGATTTTGTTAAAACACTTGTTCAGGAGAAAGATCTGAGGCTTTATGAGGTACGGGGGAAACTTTCTGGGGCGTGCAGAATTATAAACAGATTTTCCTTCTTCGTGGTTAGTGTGTCTGATGTTCAATATTAAATGGAGCAAAACAAGAATTAAGGAAAATATTCCAGATAGCTATTGTTAGGTATGTTAGGTGACCTGCAGTGTGTGAATTCTGGCATTATAACCAAGCTCAAAGCCATGGAAGTGCAGGGTGTTTGCCCTTCAAGTGGAGGGAATATTGCTTTGCAGTGCTGAACACAGGAAACGTGGGCACCTCACAAAATTACAGGGTTTCTGAAGATTTAAAGCTCTCTAAAAATTGACTTTGAGTCATATCTACTGGGGACAAAGACATGAAAAGTGACTTATTTCCTATCCTTGAAGTTATTATACTTAATATTTCAGAAGGTGCTACATATTACATCAGCTCCTCTGAAATGAAGTTCTTATTCAGGTTGCCTCCTGGAAAAGAAATGACATTGAGACATTGGGAATTTATTAAATTAACTCAGGTTTTCAGTGTGATCACTGTCAACAGAAATGAACAGCAAAGGACTTTTGTCAAACTAAGCTTCAGCAAGCAACAAAAGCTTTGAGCAGATTTGTTTTTTATCCAACACCATGGAAACAAATACTGATTCACCAAAAACACTTTCAAGAAAGGACACTCTGACCTGGGATGAGCTGGAAAACAAATGAACCCCAATGTGTGCTCCCTGGCATCCCCCTTCTCTAATTTAAGCAACCATTTTCACTGTCTCCAAGGACCAGGGCATCACTAATCGTTTTAGCTGTGTAATAATCCACAAGAAGACACCAGCACCTGTAGTTTCTTCTGAATTTATGCAAGTATGGGGAATTAACCATCAATAATATAAATTAATCATCAGCTAGTAGAAATTAATATTTCTCCCTTCTAACCATAGTAATTTAGCTGTTATTTGTTGTCTTGGGGTTGTGTGAGAAACGTCTGGTTTCAAAGACATTTGAGAGTTTTTAAGCTTAAGCCACTGGATCGATTAACCAAAAGGCTTTAGAAAACTTACAAATATAAGGCCAGAAGCTGCTTTGGAACATGTGAAATCATTCAATATCAGCAGAAAGATCTCTTCATTTCTCTCAAATGCCACTTGTGATTGTTATTTTCACCTTCCTCTCTACAGTACATGAAGATGATGGGAGTCAATGCCAGCAGCCATTTCATCGCTTGGTTCATCGAGTGTGCCATCTTCCTGCTGATCACTGTCACCTTCCTCATTGTTGTTCTGAAAGTGGGGGAGATCCTTCCCAAAACAGACACAGCCCTCCTGTTCCTGTACCTGATGGACTACAGCCTGTCCATCATAGCCATGAGCTACTTCATCAGTGTTTTCTTCAACAACACCAACATCGCGGCCCTGGTGGGCAGCCTCGTGTACATCCTCACCTTCTTCCCCTTCATCGTGCTGCTCGTCATCGAGAACCACTTGAGCTTCTCTGTCAAGAGCCTCCTGGTGAGTCCTGCTGCTCCACATTTCCAGGCATTGTGTGGAGGCACTCCAGGTTTTACTGTATCTCATGTCCCAGACACGCAGGAGTTGGGTGCCTTGCTGAATTCCGTCAGTGGGTGTTGGCAGGCATGGTTGGAGAGTTGGCCGTGGCCCATTTGAGGGACACCTGGGGTTGGCTGTGTCCTGTAACTGAAGGCACCACTTGTGGAATTTCAGTGAGTTCCCACCTGCCAGCTCACAGTAGTTTGAGCTATGTGCTTTCCCCTTTGGAATTACAAAGGAAAATGGGCTGCTTTCACCTGCTCTGAAAAACCAGGCTGTCTCAGTAAAGGGTTTGGGGAGCTCATTGCTGCCTCAGACCATCCTTTGACTTCCTGTGTCTCAGTTCCTACACATGGGAGTAGATGTAAAGCCTTGCTTCTTACCAAGGGACAGAGTAGGTAGGTGTTAGATTCCAGACTCGTTTTCTTCGAGTCACCAAATTCAGGAAATGACATCTATTAATGCAAGTGGTAACAGAATTAACCACATAGCTCCATGAGGTAATTCTCAAGCACTGCTGTATTTCAAAAGCCTAAAATAAAGCCCTGTATGAGCGAGGAAGTTGTGTCCTGGTGTGGCAGCAAAAGAAAGTCAAGCTCTAAGGAGATATTTCAGCCTGTCACCAGGCAGCACTTCCATCACAGGCCTGGTCCAGTGCTCCTTGTGACTGCTGGGAAAAAAACAAACCCAACACTCATTTTTCTGGCTGTTGGAATAACCCAGTGAGGTACCTGACTGACCTGCCTTCTCTTTGAGACTAATTCAAATGTTCTTTGTTTTTAATTTTGTTTATTCCCCAGAGTCTGTTGTCTCCAACTGCCTTCAGTTATGCAAGTCAGTACATTGCTCGCTATGAGGCACAGGGCATAGGTGAGTTTTTGGCAGACAGAGCCAGGCTTTGATCTCTCCTGGGGGTGGTATTTCACTGCCTGAGGTGGGTTCTGATTGTATTTGTCAATTCCTCTCTGCAGGACTGCAGTGGGACAACATGTACAAGTCCCCAATGATTGGAGACAACACTTCCTTTGGCTGGATGTGCTGGCTCATTCTGATAGACTCCTTCATTTACTTCATCCTGGGCTGGTACATAAGGAATGTTTTCCCAGGTAAGGATGCAAAGCATTGAGGGTGGTGCTGTAGCATCTCTTTTGGAGAGCAATGAACACTGAGCTGGCTGAGGCAGTGAGACAGTGCACACACTCTGTCCCAGACCAAAGGGAGCACGACTCTGTGGATGTCTGAGCCTATTCATGGCACTGACAGAGAGCAGAGCAAGGAAGAATTAGAGTTTCTCAGGCTGTCATATGGGTAGGTGGGTCTCCTGAAGAATCTGAAGCCAAGGACACAGGAGGGTGTGATTGCAGACTGGTGGGTGAGAGGGGAACATGTTAGACTGCATTTGTCAGCTGAGTGATTTTGAGCTGTGTTACTTACATCATTTGGTTTCAAAAAGTAATTCCTGCCTTTGGCAAGAGCCAGTACATTCGTCTTTTGCTTTTCTTCCCCACCTAATGAAGCAGTCCACTGGCATACAGAAATCTACCCAGTGGAAAATGTAAAGTTCTCCTGCCTCCAGCTATGGAGTTACTCAGAATAACAAATTAGTGAGTGCTTCCTATTGTGCCAATCACAAAAAGTCTCTACCAAGTCCTGGTAGTGCATGAAGAAATCTCTGTGAAGTTAATTTTTGCTATTTTGAGTACACCCCAACAGTGGCACTTCCTTAGGGACAGATACCTGAATGAGACTCCTGTTCCTGCAGGTAGATATGGCATGGCTGCTCCCTGGTACTTCCCACTGCTTCCATCTTACTGGATCGAATACAACAACTACCTGCCCTTCTGGAATGAGAAACAAAGAGGCCTGCTCTTCTCCAAGCTGATGTTGAGGAAGGAAGTCACCCTCCCCAATAAGATATGTATGTGGATACTAGATGGGGTAGCAATAATAGCTTATATTTTGGGTAAACAAAGCCAAATTTGTAACTCAGAAAACACCATTGAGTGTTATTTTGAAGTACAGGAAAAATTGAAAGCTGGTACTCACATGAATGGAGATTTGGCCCTTAAATTACATTGGTTCTTCCTATTTGTTGTGGAGAGTCACTACCGATTTTCACACACACATTCATGTATATTGTGGTTGGGCAGTTACCTTCCATGCCTGTCTCTCTGTGTAGAAATACACTTTTGTTTGGGCAAGCAAATACAGGTTTCCACTTGGCAAAGGGCACGTGTGCTTCTTTGCTTATCTCTTTCAATATTTAGCCTGTAAAATATTGAGATCACACATAAAAACTTGCTGGTTTCACCTAACTGAAAGTAACTCCGTAGTTTTGCTTCATGCCTTCTAATCTTCTGTGCTTGCTTAGTATAAATAAAGTTAGGTGCTCTGAAACACCTAAATATGAGACCTTTTCAGAAGTGATTAATGCCTGTTGTCAGGAGTTATTAGAAGCTTCAGAACTAAAAAGGAAAAATCCCAGAGAGCTCAAAATTATGCAGATCTGGTGACATGTTCTTAATATTCCTGGCTGAAAGGTGCCTGCCTTTGCTGTATTTTGGTTTTTTCTGAGATAAGAAAAGTAGCACAACACCTGCTGCACTGCAGTAACTGTTCCTGACCCTTCTCTTTGTTGTTAAAGGTGCCTCCCACCCTCACGTGGAACCAGAGCCCACTGACCTCCCCTTGGGAGTCTCCCTCCATGGCATAACAAAGGTTTATGGATCCAAAGCTGCAGTGGACAACCTCAGCCTCAACTTTTATGAAGGGAATATCACTTCCCTGCTGGGACACAATGGAGCTGGGAAAACTACCACCATGTGTGTATCCTTTAATTTATCCTGCTCGTTTTTATCCTGTGGGGTGTGGTTGGATGAGCAAGAGGGTAAGTGGGGCTGTGCAGCAGTGGGAGAGTGAGGAAGGTGCTTCATTAGGCCAAATCCCTCAGGTAGTTTCATCTTGTTCGTGGATAACCTCAGGAGTTCCTTCATCCCTTAGAGTTCTTCAGGTTCTAAAAGGTCCTTTTCTGCTTTTTAACCTGGTGAGATACCTGGGACACACAGCACAGCAGCTTTTCAGGTGTTTTGTTCCATGGCCTGGGGTTAGGTTGTTCTGGAAGCTGTGCCCACACCAAAGCTGAAGTGATACTAGCAAGGAAACTTAATAAAGATACACTTCAGCTGTACAGAGTCATGTGTTGGCTGGGCTGGAATGACAGGGGATTAATGCATTGGCCTTTCAGCCTTGCTGTTTATAAATTATTATTTGACTTGTTAGATAACAGCACTAAAACAGACCTGTAGAACTTGATTTCTCCACTGATATATATGTGCATATCTCTGAAAGCAACATTAAGCTGATAAATAGAAGCCTCAGAAGAGCCAAAACCAGTAAGACAGATGTGTGCTTCACCTCAGCCTGTTATCAATTCACCTCATATTCTGTTTGCAAAGTGTAGCAAAGGTGATATGCAGAAAAGTAGAAAACCTTCCTGAAACTTAGCACAAGCTTTAAGTCCTGAGTAAGGTCATAAGTTACTGCTTTTTAATGATGGGTAAAAGTCCCAGGAGAGAGAAAAACTCTGCAAAGGTGAAGGGCGGTCTGAGATGCATCTTCTCCCTTTAGTCCCTGCAGGACAGCACCAAAAATGAGCTGTAATGTGCAAGTAGTTATTCTGAGCAGAGGGAGTTTGACTCAGCTCTTGCTTGGTGGGTGATTATTTGCTTGAACTAGATGAAAGTGCTGCCCACTGTGAGGTGTCTCATCCAGAAGTCCTCTCCCATTTCTCATGAATAATGGCAGTGAAATCAGGTTGCCATGCTCTGCTGTGATTACTCAGATGAAGAGGTGGTTTTCAGTCTTAGCTGTGGTTACAATATGAGGCTGTCTGCACGCTCCAGGCAAACCTCAGAGAAAAAAGAGTAACTGCATTATATGAATTCCCAGTAATTAAACTGGAATTCAAGGGCATTCCTGAGAGTGTGGGATATGCAGTGGCAGAGGGAGGCTGAAGCAGGTAAAAGTAGAGGTGAGGGGTAGGCAGGGTGAGCTTGGAGCTTGTCCTTGCAATCCCACAGAGGATTTCCCAGAGGGAAACAAGGATGTGCATGGATGTTAATTGGCCTTTGCTCTGCCAGAGCATGGCTGGGCAGCAGGACACACAGTGGGCAGTGGTGTCTGGCTGGAAGGAGAAAATTACCCATGGCTTCCTCCTTTTTCTAACTCCCCCTTTCTATTTCTTTTTTTTTATTTTCTTCAGATCTATTTTGACCGGGTTGTTCCCTACATCATCAGGCACGATCATTGTGTATGGCAAAGACATCAGGACTGACCAGGAGGTGATCAGGAAGAACATGGGGGTGTGCATGCAGCACGACGTGCTCTTCAACTACCTCACCACCAAGGAGCACCTGCTGCTCTATGGCTACATCAAAGTGCCTCACTGCAGCAAACACGAGCTCTACCAAGAAGTGAAGAGGTAGAAAAGTAGCAGGGTGGGAGAAGGGGAGAGAGGGCTGTCAAAATTGTTGTGCCTGCAAAGCTCCAAATCACGGATTGGAGGTCTTGTTGCAGCTCCAGCTTAGGTTCAAGTGGTGCCTTGCTCTGACTAGAGGAGTATATTGATACCTATGCTGTAAGAAAACAATATCTCCTCTCCAGGGGGTTTACAGGTTGCTGTAGCAATTATCTGGAGATGAATTTATAGGCCTAAGGGTCTATTCCTTGCAGCTTTACAGTTTTCCTGAAAAGAGATTTAATCAACCAGTCAGAAAGATGATGTTGGCTTTATTGGTTCTGTGGAGAAATGAAGCAGCCAGAATATCCCAGGGAGTTTGGATCTTAGTGTCTCAGTTGATGGGGTTGAGCCTTTAACCTTGACTTGTCAGATGAAAACTTTGAAAACATCCTCAAAAATGTTTTAAATTAAAAGCCCAATGACTGAGCTGCAGGGTGACTCTACACTGTGACCACTCAGCAGAGCAGTCCATTCTTGGGCAGGTTTTCATTTGCAGTTACAGTTTTTTTCCAGGTATTTTCAGATTCCCTGAAAATTCTTCTCCATGGGACTCATCCTAAAGGCTCATGGTGTAATTCAGCAATTCCAGCTGAACCATAGGAATACAGATATTAATGGGGATTTTAAAAATTAAATTTTTTCAAGCTTGGAAAAGATGCTTGAAGGACAACTTTTGGGAGTTGTTTTCCCTCTGTTTTGCAGGACTTTGAAGGAGACTGGGCTGTACAGCCATCGTCACAAGCTGGCTGGCACCCTGTCTGGAGGGATGAAGAGGAAGTTATCCATAGCTATTGCTCTCCTGGGGGGATCCAGGGTGGTGATTCTGGATGAACCAACCACGGGGGTGGATCCCTGCTCCCGGAGGAGTATTTGGGAAATCATCTCCAAGAATAAGAAAGGTACTGCCCAGAGACAAAGGTGATTTGTGTCACTTTACAAAGATGGTCCCAGTGGCTTGGAATTGTGGGTTTTGGAAGCCAGAGAGAAAAAAAAATTTGGGAGACTGGGATTTTGCAATTCTGGAAGGTGCATCGGAGTTGGTTTCTGTAAATTCACAGTGTCATTTGAAAAATAACTTCACCATAGAACACAGCTTGCAATACTGTAAAATTCATCTCTCTTGTTGCCTTTCATCCAATTTCACTAATAATTACCAAAAAATGCAGTTGATTTTCACCTGATACTCTGTGTCCCCTCCTTCAGCGAGGCTTTCATGTCTCACTCTTGAGATAAGGACAGATCTGAGCAGAATGTGGTAAAAGAAAATTGTTATAAACATTCACTGTATTGGTTTAACAATGTGGACTTCTTTGCCATGGACTGATCCAGAACAAGGGGAAGCTCTGGAACCCCTGCAATTATATTGATGTGTAGGGAAATACAGAAATTTTTGAGAAAGGAAAGAAAAGAACCCAAATCCTTCTAAAATCCAGTTTTGCCATAAAACCAGGTGTTCATTCTGTGGTGGCTGTGTTTTCCAGGCAGAACCATCATTCTCTCCACACATCACCTGGACGAAGCAGAAGTTCTGAGTGACCGCATCGCCTTCCTAGAGCATGGAGGGCTCAAATGTTGTGGCTCACCTTTCTACCTCAAGGAAACCTTTGGGGATGGCTACCACCTGAGCCTCACCAAAAAGAAGGTTTGTGTCTGAGCTGCTCCTAGAGCTCCTGGCAGCTCTGTCTCCAAGGGAGTCATCAGGGCTGGTTGAGGGATTTATTGGCTTTGTGAAAACAGGAGTGTCAGTGCTCTGCTTTGTTGAAAAAGAACAGGGTCTCCTTGAAGGTTAAAGGCAAGGCTGGGTGCAGAATGTGAACTCTGGAGTTCAAGGGAATAAAGCAGATGGAAAGAGCCCATCCATAGTATCTGGCCTGGGGTAAAGTGTTCTGCTTGCAAGGAGTGAGGAACTCTGCTCTTGCTAGCATTTATTACAGTGCTGTTGGTAGCCCCAGCGCACAGATACCGTGAGACACCAGCCTCTCTTCCAGACTGCTGGCACTGGAGACAGAGAAAATGAAAAAAGACCCAAAAAGCCCTATTTTTTATGGAAAAAAGAGAGAGGTTGTGCTGGCAGCCACGTTAAGCTCTCTGGTGACCAGGCTTTTTCTCAGTTGTACTACAAATCTCTAGCAGTACAAAGTGGTTGATTCAGCCCAACCTGGTGAGGTTTTGGATGGACCAAGATGGGAGAGTGTCACATGTCCCTGCCAGAAACCCACTCTCATCTGCTTTTGATATTTACCCTGACATGTTGGATAGCTGGACTGGGATCACTTACCAGTTATGCCCTGGGACAGGATTTGGGCTATGTCCTGCAGAAGGAAGGTCGACCTTACAACCCTTTCAGTGACCACAAAGTCTTTTCCTCCTGTTTCAGAACATGATAGAGGAGTGTGACACCACAGCAGTGACCTCCTTGATCCAGTCCTATCTCCCAGAGGCTTATCTCAAGGAGGATATTGGTGGAGAGCTCGTGTACGTGCTTCCCCCCTTCAAGTCCACGGTGTCAGGGGCCTACCAGGCCCTTCTCAGAGCCCTGGACACCAGCTTGAATGATCTCCACCTGGGTTGCTACGGGATTTCCAACACAACTGTGGAAGAGGTACGAGCTCAGGATTTGCTGGATTGGCTGAAATGTCATGGAGATTGATTTCACAGCACTCTGTGGCTCTGCTCTCTGAGAATGTTAGGAATTAAAGTGAGGGTTTCAGGCAGAAGGGAAGGGGTTCCACTTAGGTACACATGAGTGTATAGCTGCATTTATAAATCTATACATATCCTAATTCACTGTCTCACCTTGCTGACAGCCTTTGGATGTTTTACCCAGAAAATGAGGCACTGGAGTTAGACTAAGGAGAGTGTAACACCAGCACCTTTCTGCCCATGGGAAATCTCTGGTCAAATAAACACATTTAATTGCATCAGAAATAAAAAGTAAATGATGAGCAGTGATGACCCTTGTCTTGCAGAAGGGTGGGAAGGAGGTTGTTATCTTCCTGCTCAGAATTGCTTGCTTTCTTTTAAGGTGATTTCCTAAGGCAGAAAGAATAAGTTGTACATTCCTGTCCCACGTGCAGCTCGAGTTCCATGACTGCACAATCCCAGCATGGAGGCAGTGGAATTGTCAGGAGCTAGATGGTGAATATCCATGGGAAACAAATTTGAGTTTCCACTACTGCAGCAGAACAGAGACAGGAGGTGACAAGGAGTTGGACAACAATTTTATATGGGAAAAAAAAGTTACTTTTTCTCACATGGCACAAAGGGAATAGAAAGAGGGTTATAGTACATAACTGCTGCACCAACTACAGCTACAAAGCAGGAGAGTGGATTCTGGTAATTGTTTTGGTAAATTGAGTAATTTGGGACAAATTTTCCTTCACATTTTCTTGCTCCATAGGTGTTCCTCAATCTGACTAAAGAGCTAGTGAAGGATCAGCAAGAAGATGCTGCTCTGCCCCATCAACTGCCTGGAGTCAGTGGTCACATTGGTGCTGATGAAATGTCTCTGAGCACAGACACCTTCACAGAAAGAGATGGTATTCAATCACCTGCAGGCTTTATTCCAGATTTACTGCAGATGTAAACTCTGACAGATGGACTGATTTGAGCTCCTTGTCTTCTTTCTTTGTTGAAAGCCACATTTCTCCCAGGCAGGAATCACAAACCTTATGAATCACTGGAAATACAGTACTCATCAGTCCTTTAGTCCCCTTTTTTGGAATAGTCTGAATTACAGGATAAATTTCTAAAGGGGTTTTGTTTGCATCTGCCTTGCTTTAAATTGCTCCAGATTTTAATCTAATCAAATACAGCATGTGGGTGAAAGAGTAAATGTGTACCTCTGAAAGTAATTGCTGTAATAGATGTAGAGGAGTATTTTCCCATAACTAACAGATTTGGAAAGAAACTTTGTGGAAATCCCTTAGGCTGTTGAAAAAGCAGCACAGCTCTGAGCTGGGCCCTCCTTGCTGCTTTTTGCTGTGCCCCAGACATTGCAGTTTGGTAAAGGAGCCAAGGGACCAACAGTGGGGTAAATTCAGAAGAGAACCAAGCTACACCCCTGTCTCTGGGGGTTTGAGACCTCCTAAAGGTGGCCCAACCCAAAAATGAGACATACCTGGCTGCAATGCTTTCTTGGGCTAGAAACATTGTTTTGTACTTATAAATATACCATTTATAGTCAGGGAGGCATCCAAGGGACAACACAGAGGTAGTTTTGTACTTTTCAAAGCTTTCCTGAAACTGTAAATGGTACTGTAAATGGTACTGTAAACAGTTACTTGTGTAGAAAAGTGTTTTGTTTCACCATGCTGAAAAGGATTTGCTTCGTGGTGTATTATATAGGTTAATATTTCATAAAGAAGAATAACTGGCACAGGATTTGCCTCTGCTTTTAGTATAACACAAAACCTGTCCATGCGAGAGGCCCAGTGGCTTGTGCTTGTTTTCTTATTTCAGGATTAATTTTGTTATTTATTTTTCTGAGGACCTGCTTTTTGAATTACGAAAAATTTCAGCTCACAAATCTGAAAGAAAAGCATGTTTCCTCTGTAAGTTGTGGCTGAGTAGGTAGGATGTAGATAACCTATTTCATCTGGAAGCCTGTGTTCCTCTTGCAAGGTCTCACACTGAAATTTAACATTTGAAATTTAACCAAATACTAGTGTTACATGAGCTAATGACTGGAGTCCTGTTCCACACCTGATCCTGTGTTGTTCTGCCTTAATAGTTTGGATTTACTATCTGTAAATGTGTGCAAGGGAAATGTGTGGAAGGGAAATACCCTCCCAGAGCGCTGTAACCATTGCACAAATGCTGAGCCATGACCAAATGGCATTTTTTGTGCCCAGACCAGCTCCTGATCAGGTCCAAGAGCCTGCGGGGTTTGCCTCTGCTGCTGAAGAGAACCTCAGCGCTCTTCATCAAGAGGTTCCACCACACCCGGCGCGACGTGCGCGGCTTCATCGCCCAGGTCATCCTCCCTGTGCTCTTTGTCATGGCTGCCATGGGCCTGGGGACACTGAGGACCAAGGAGACTGAGTACCCCGAGCTGCTGCTGTCCCCCTCCCTGTATGGCACGGGTGACCAGGCAGACTTCTTTGGGTGAGTGCTGCTCTGGGGACCCCAAGTGCCCTTGGTGCAGAGCGAGTCCTTCAGGGATATTTCTGAGCACAGCACACAGGACACATGGGTATATAGTTATATAGTGCAGACAGCACACAGAAACCCTCTTCCCAAAGGGTCTCTGAGGACACAGCTTGGCTCAGACCAGAAAGCTTCAGAAAAGCAGCCTCTCATTTGAATTTAACTATGAAATGCCTGAGGAATGTTCTTGGTGTTTCCCACTGGAGTCCTTCATCCCTCTAACAGCCATAGGGGTTCTCTTAATATATACATATTCCTCCCCCAGTGTGGAATGAGGTACCCATGTCAGTTGCCTCCAACATTACAATTCTGGGATCAAATTCTATCCATCCTGTGAGCACTGCCCTCCTCTCTGGTAGCACAGGATGTGCTTTCCTAGCCAGGCCCTGCTGGTCCAAGGCACACAGGCAATTGGAAGAGCATGTGCTTTTCCAGGGTCATTAGGATGTCACCACTGCATTATTTCATTCTCCTTAAAAATCCTGTTACCAAAACAACTATAATTGGTATCATTTGGTTTTCGTGTTGTGAACTTCTGTCTTTCTCCAGTAATTTTCAGCTCTAAGTCAGAAATACAAAATACAGCTCTAAAGCCATCTGCTCTGGGTGTTCTTCCCAGGATTCCTCATACCTTTCCACTTCAGTCCTGATAGAGGGGGGAATGAGCCAGAGCTGCACGTCCAAGTCCTCTGTTCCTAATGTTCCCTGCTTCTCCTTTTGGATGATTGCTGGAGAGCTGGGGCAGAACCAAGGACAATCTTCTTGAATGGTCAAAACCAAGTGGATGTCACGGATGAGAGACCTGATTGAGACAGGGCTGCAAGCAAATTGCAAGTAGATTATTTTTCCCCTTAAGGAGAATCTTGATTGTCCAAAAGCATCTTGCTTGGATTTAGAGGCAGTAAATCCCTGGCATAGCTGAAGTTATGATACCTCTTTTTAAACCTGTGTGACTGTCCTCACGTACTGTGTGTCCTTCAGTGCTGCTTCCACAAATACTCAATTATTCAACATCTTAAATCCTGTTTCATTCAAACATAGTTTTCCTCTGCACGGTGGTAGTGGAAGTTCTTTGAACCTTTCCCTGTTTTCTGTTTTTCTTTGTTAAATCTTAGGAATTTTAATGAAACCACAGCTGCTTTAGTTTCTTCGATGCTGGCTTTCCCTGGGACGGATAACACGTGCATGAACGAAAGCAATTCGTAAGTAGCTCTTGGGGTTTTTTCCACTTGAACTCCAAACCTGCAAGAGAATTGGCGTGACACTATTAGCCATTAGACCTTAATAACCATCTTTGATCATGGGCAGAATTCTCATGCATTGCACTCCTGCATTATTAGGAGTGATAAGGAAGCAGCTTTGGTGGTGGCAGGATGCCAGGGATGAAAACGAGCAATTCTCCTCACTGGGAAGTGGTCCCTGCCATCCCAATAATTCCAATTATAATGTGAGCCCACACAGCAAGCTCTCAGCACAGTGTTTGTTACCTCTATCTGGAAGCTGTGCCATGAGGGCTGGTTTGTTTTGAGCTTTGCAGATAAATTCTCAGGATGGTAAAATCCTGGGCAGACTTGAATGCTCGTGCAAGCAAATATTTACCTTGGGTGTTTGCAGTGACTGTCCAGGCAATACAGCCCATCACAGCAGCACACAGGGATTGTCACAACAATAGCCCTTATTCCTGGGCTGGTTTCAGATGCTTTTGGCCTCTGAGTGCCAATTCCTTGCACTGTCTACTGTAGGAATGAAGTGGTGCCTGGATTCCATCTGATAGCTGAGCGAATGCAGGCACAGGAAGCAGCAGGGAGGGCTCTCTGCCAAGGGACACGGGATGAGCAGGAGGCTGGGGATTCCCTGAACCACCCAGAGCTGACAAGAAGCTCTGCTTTTCTGCTGGAGCTGCTCAACTGCCAGCCTTGCTGTCATTAAACATGACAGCAATTAGCTTCATTTGCACACCTGAGCACAGAGAGCCTCAGAGGAAAATGTGTTCCTTTTTAGGCAATGTTTAACAGAGGACATGCTTGGCCAGTGGATTACCAGTGGAAACCAGGGAACTGAGTATTCTGCCTGCAACTGCACAGATGGCATCCAGGTAACTTGGATAAACCCAAAAGTGAGCTGGCTTGGGGGATAATTGGGTGGCCTTGTTTGTTGGGAGTATGGGCTGGCATGATGCTAAGGGGGACTCAGTGTTCCAGGTCCTCCTGTCTCTCTCTGGCCTTGTTGAATTTGTACACTGAATAACCACTGGCTGCACCAGTCTGGGGACAGGAAAGGAAACAGCATCCTCAGAAAATTCACACCCTAACATCCCTGCCTTGCTCCCCTTGGTGGGAAAAGGTTTCATGGTGTTTTGAGTGTTGTATGATTGTCCCTTTTGACAGAGGTGAGCGTGTTCAGGAGGAAGATTTCATCTTATACAAGCACTGTCACTATATAAAATCACAGCTACTTTTGCTGCTTGCTCTTCAGAATTTAACTTTATGCAAAGTCTAGATCTGCTCCTTGTTCTAAATATTAATGATTAATAATATTAATTATTAGCATTACAGTGGTACCCACAGAGCCAGATATGGGTGCTGCTGAGATTTGCATGCAGATGTGAAAAGGCAGATTCTGCCCTAAGGGTGTTACAGTTTTACTGCTCAGTTTGGGGTTGAGTTCTCCTCCCTCCAGTGCTGTTCACCTGTCAGCTTTTTCCCATAGCAAGTAAACTCATGGCATAATGTGATGCCTTTTACAGAAAGGATGTACTTAGTTGAATATTTTTAGTCATTCTTTAAAATGCAGCTATTTTGTGCAGTTTTCTGGACATACACTTAATTTCACATCATTAAAAGTATTGGCATAATTTCTCCAGCAAGTTGAGATAACGTTCAAAGCTGATTCCCACCTCCAGCAGGCACAGGCAGGTGTTCCTCAGCATGGAGGAAGCTATTTTGTGTATTCAGATGAACAGATGCACAATGGGGGAGTCCAGAGCTTTTGTTGTGGATGAGCTGAAGGAAGCAGCCAACATGCTGTCTGGGAGGACACTTCAACCTCATGAAACACTGATGTGACTTTGGCCCTCAGCATGTTAAATTATATATTCAGGACTAATTCAAGGTTTCTCTGAAGCCCAGGAAAACATTTCCAGTGACTGACAGTAAAGCAGCAATGTAGAGTGTAGGTGCTATGAAATGGAAGATGAGAGTTTGAGGCCACCACAGAGTTTTCTGCTCTGTGAGTTGTTTTGCCCTCTGCACTTGTCTGTGCAGTCACTCTGCTAAGTAGGATCAGCCTTAATTCAGCCAAAATCTTCCTGCATAGCATGAAGCACATTTCAAGGTGGCACTGACACCGATAGAACTGAAGGGTAGATTTAAGCAGAGGTTGTTTTTAAGCACATCCCTGGATGTGTTGGGGACAGTGTGCAGGGATGTGTGCCGTGTGTCTGTGTACCCTGGCTTGGGAAGGAGCAGCCTCTGCAGGAATGAGGCTCAGGACCAGACTACTGCCATGGCAGGCTCTCAATCTTGCCCGAATATGGTGGTTTTTAGTTAAAACACAAACACTAAAGTTTTCCTTTGTTTGCTCCCCTCAGACATGTCCACAGACAAACTACACTCCCCCTCACAGAAGGACCTTCTCCACACGGACACTTTACAACGTGACAGGGCACAATGTGGAGACTTACATCCTGGCAACCACCAAGGACTTCCTGCAGAAAAGGTGGGACACAAACTCCCCTCCCTCTCTGCTGAATAGCACTGGCAGCAAGGTAGGACGTCCCACACCTGTCACATCCCCTCTGCCTGCAGAGGTGGCAGTGCAGTAGGGGTTGATAATCTGGTGAAAGGAGCTAAAGCGTCCTGCAATCATGGATAAAAGATAAAGGCTTGTGCAAGTGCTCTGCTTGATCACAGCAGATCATAGCCTGGGGATAATGTGTCAATCACCTGGCACCGTGGGGCTGGATCTGCAGGCAAGCCTTTGTCTGACTCAGAAATCTTTAAAAAGAGGAAAATCTTTCACAGCCTGACATGAGGTAAACCCTGGGGAGAGATTTTCCTCCAGGTTTGATTCTCTGAAGAGTCTCACTTGAAGGGGCACATCCATTCCAGCTAGAGCAGAGTCTGAGCATTTCCTTGAGCTCTGGGAGCTGTTGGTGGGTCTGGGCATTGCCAGGCAGCTGCAAAGCAAAGCTTGGGACAGAGGCCACCTACCACTAAAGCTGGCAGAAAATGTGTGATTCTGCCACTGATAACTGAGCTGCTCATCTCCTGGGTCAGAAGCAGCATGTCACCCCACGGTGGCAGGCACACAGCTCAGGAGTCCCAGGGCTCCAGGATCTTCCTCAAATGGAGGTTTTCAGCAGTTCTGTGACAATGCTGCCGAGCTTCTGGGGGCTTTTCCCCCCAGAGAAAGGCTCCCACAGGAGAGTTGGCTCGGCCCCATGCTGGGATAAGCTCTCTGATGTCAGGCTGGTACCTTGGCATGGCCCATCCAAGGGAATCAGAGCTTTGGAATGAGGGCAGCAATGCATTTGCCTCTGGTTTTCACTCAGGTATGGTGGCTGGAGCTTCGGGCTGCCTTTGACAGCAGATCTGCAGTTTGACATCAGGCCAGTGCCCCCCAACAGAACACTGACTAAGGTAACCAACCTCTCATCCTGGCATGGGAAGTGTGGGACTCGGGAGAAGCAATGTCAAGTTCATGGATATTCCAAAAACAGAAAGCAAAACCTCCTGAAATCTGCAGCTTGGCATGACAAAGATGACTTGCAGTTCATTTTCTTTTCTCTCCCCATTCTTCTTTATTGGTCTCACTTCTCTTGCTAGCAGGAGGCAATTTTTCTGCTGTCATAATTTTATTATACAGAGGTGAAAAGATCAATTAGTAGCACCTTTATCTCATGAGGGGATGTATGTACCATAACGAGGGCTGGCTGGTGCATTCTGATATGCCCATTTCTCTGGTTCAGCTCAGTGAAAATGTTGTAAAGCACCAGGGCTGAAATCTGAGGTAGTTTGCACAAGTGAAGCAGGACAAACATGTTTTCAGTAATAACTCCCAAATTGTTTCCATTTCTCAATTGTGTGCAGGTGTGGTACAATCCTGAGGGTTATCACAGCCTCCCAGCCTATCTGAACAGCTTGAACAACTTCATTCTTCGAGCCAACTTGCCAAAAAATGAGACTTCCAGATATGGTAAGTGTCCCTTTACATAAGCAGATGACTTCTCCCCTTTGGAGGGATATCCTGGTTCTGCTGAAATCAATGACAACACTTACCTTGACTTCAATGAAGCCATTTCTTTATTCACCGTTCTGCAATTCCTTTCAAAACAGAATTGAAAAGCATGAATAAATCACAAAGTTCATCTGTCTTAGTCAGAGGCTCAGGGGAGCTGGACAGGGAGGACCCCAGCTCCTATATAAAATGCTTCATCTGAGAAATGCCAGCAGTTGCTGTTTGATTTATTGTCTCTCATGTGGCACGGGAAGGGCTGTCTCTTGATAGGTGCCCATTAGTTATGCAGAGAAAAGCTCTAGGTCATCTCCAGGGGTGGGTTAGATTAGGAAATTTTAATATGTCACCCTTCTGCTTGGTGTGTGGGCATCTGTGTGTCTGGCTTTGAGTGAGCATGGAGAGGGTGAGATTAAATAAGAAATGTAATTTTCAGCTTTGTTTTTCCTCTGACACCTGCCATACACAGATCCAAGGAGTGCTGAGGGCCCATTTGGGGTCCTCGTAGCTTTTCCCTGATAACACACTGCAGCAACCCAAATTCCTGCTGGTAAGGCAGGGCACCCTGCCTTTCCCTTTGCAGTTTAGCCCCTTTCAAAGTGCAGTGTGGCCACAAACCAGGTGTGTGTGCCTCCAGAGTGGGCCAGGGTGCAAACACAAGAGAGAGATTTACACTGAGAACTCTTACTCAGACATTTCTGGGCTCTGCTCTGCCAAGAGCAGCAATTGTGTGCAGAAACACCTTCCTGATTGACTTTCTTGGACAAGCAGTGTCCTTCCAGCCATGTCCTGGCCAGGCCTAGCCCTGCTCACCTCCGAGGGCTGCTGTCCCTGGTGACACGGGGACAGGTGGCAGCGTCTCTTGGCTCACAGGACATGTCTGAACTGAGCTGTGATGGAACCAGGCATCTGGCCTGAAGCTTTGAGTGTGACACCCTGAATTCCAGCAGGAGCAGATGCTGATCACAAGTGGCCCCAGGTGTGTGCTGCTTCCCAGCTCACAGCACTGCACTGAGACTCCCCTCCCAGCCAGCTCAGCTCAGTGACACCACAGCCTTGTCCTGGCCACCCCCTCTAACAGCCCATGGCTCTCCCCTCTGGGCTTTGCAGTGTGCCCTCAGCTCACACATCACAGAGACCCCAGCCAGGCAGGAACATCCCAGAGCAGCTGAATTATTAAGCACTGAAGCTCCTTGCCCTGTCTCTGTATTCCCAATACACGCTGTAGTAAGAGCAAAGGCAGGAAACTCTTGTGAACAGCCAGAAAGTTTTCTCAGGGAAAGTTTTATACCAGCAAAATAGCAATTTTCAGAGGTAAAGAACAGCAGCAGTTTTTGTTCCATCTGTCCCACTGCTTATGTGTTTTTGGAAAGAAATGCTTAGCAGTAAAAGACCAGACAGACAATTCTCTGCTTCCCACTAATCATCCAAGCCAGAGAAGGGGAGAAATAAAATGAATGGATGAGGCTGGTTCCCCTGAGGTGGAGTAAATCCAGTCTGCAATCTGAAGGCACCTTCTGTGGGGTAACTCCTGGCAGCTCAATCCAGTTGTTGTTGTGACAAATAAATGATGGTTTAAGAACCCCTGGAATGGTCAGATAAAAGTGTGTTGTCACTTCAGCAGTCAGAAAGAGGTGCCAGTCCTGCTTTAGAGGTTTGACTTAGACTGGGTATATTTAAAAAAAAAAATACATAAAAAGCTTTTTACTCTGTCACTAAGCAAGTCATAATAGCTTTTGACTTATGTATATCGTGCTTTCTCTTCTCTCAATCCCAGCTAACAAAAAAGGAGGAAGCATTGAAATGGAAATTTTGACTTCTAGCCTAAGCTCCAGTAAAGGAAAATGGCTTCATAGTGAAGTATTAACAGATTAGACAGGTGGTATCTTTCTTTCTCTCTCTCTCCCTTTTGGAGAGGGGAAACATTTCCTGGCTGTTTGTATGGCTTTATCAGCAGTCCAAGATTTTAATCCCATTTCTCTCACTGATGACAAGACTGAGGTTTGGTTGGGGTTTTTTTTTTCCTCCAAAATTAATTTCTGATTAAATCCTCCCTTTCAAATTCATTTGCTCGGTATGGCATTTGGTCAGCTAAACCCTCAGGCTCCTCCCTTCTGGCCACCCTGTCAGAGTGCCCATTCTTAAGGAAAATTACCCAGAATAGCTCTTCATCACATCATTCCTAAGGTCTGCCTGTGAGGAGTTTAAATTCCACAGGTGGCATGGTCTAGAAAATCTCTGAGTTTAAGAGCAGCTGGAGATCCCCCAGCACTCCCTGAGGCATTTACTTAGGTGTCAAAATCTGAATTGAGAGCCTCATTTTTCGGCACATAAACATGGGAGCCCTTTCTCAGGTTCTGGAGTCTTAGAAAATTGGGTGGTCATCCTGGTGGGGGCAAGGCAGAGACCTGCCCTGGAGGTTGGAACTGGCCCACCACACCAGCGCCCCTCTGTGTTCTTCCTTTTGCTTTGTGGGCACAAATTGCCTCCAGACATGGCAAAAGCACTCTGGTGAACAATACTTGTGTATTTTGGGCTGTTCTCCTTGGAGAAGGAGCATTTAAACCACATCTGAAGATACCTGCACATAAGCAGAGACTTTCTCAGTTGCAGTTTGGGCCTGATACAAATCCATTTTTAATGGATTTGTAGGGAAAACATCACAGGGGAGTTACCAGTGTGAAAATTAGATTTTTGCTAGTAACTTTGAGCAAAATGCTTTTTTTTTGTTTGTTTGTTTTCGAGCTTTTTAAGACAGAATAGTTCAGAATTAACTCACTGCCACACTGGAGGCAAAAGTGTCTTTAACTTCTATGGGTTTCTGTTCTCAGAATCATATGGGATTCCACAGATCCCATATGGAGAAAGACATTTATCACAGGCAGGTAGCAGTTATGGAGAAGGGCAGCAGGGAGAGACTTGTTGCTGGTGATAAAAGAACAAATGGAACGAGGTGGGATCACCAGACAGCAGCTTTGAAGCAGAACACATTCATCAGTTTTGAAGGTGTCAGTGGTGAGGAATCCAAGGTGGAACACATGGGCCCACAGGCCTGATTTGAGGTGTGGGAAGGGAATGGTGCTGGCAGCCAGACAGATGTAGGAAAAAGGCCCAAGGTTTGGATTTCAGATCTGCTCTGCAGCCAAGTGAAGTCCTAGGAAAAATGAGAATGCTCAAAATTCTGCCCAAGATCACACAGAGATGACAGAGCAGAAAGACACTTTTGATCTTTTCTTTTGAGCTTTTCTTGTCTCACAGTTTTCTATATTATTGTCAATATCAGGAGCTGCTGAAGGAAGCTTTAATTTGGACACATTTTCAATTTCGTTTTTTTTTTTTTCCCTGTAGGTATTTTCTTATCAGCTCACCCATATCCTGGAGGACAGAGTCAAGAACAAGTAATGTAAGAAGATTCATTTGGCTGATGCTTGATTTTTTTGGCTTTAAAAGGAGCAAACCAGCTTATTGGAAACCATAAACCAGCCTAAATTACTGGATCTCTGAGTGATGGAACTGTTCTTGCTTGTGTTCATTCCCTCTATACATGAATAGTGTCCTACTTGTCACCAGAGCTGGGGATTCCTGTGAGGGTTTTTTTGCAGGATCTCATGGAGATCTGGAGGTCACAGTTACAGCCTCACACATTTGTGTGCTTGGGAATAATAATAATAGTAATAGTAATAATAGTAATAATGACATTATTTTCCTTTTGGCTCTTCCACTCCATGCTGCTTTTGCTGGGCATCATTGCCATCAGCAAAGAGAGCAAAGAAAGGAACACATTCTCCTCTGTAAGGGTGCTGAGGCCATCCCTGGAAGTGTTCCAGGCCAGGTTGGATGGGGCTTGGAGCAACCTGAGACAGTGGAAGATGTCCTTGCCCATGGCAGGGGGATGGGATTTGAGGTCCCTTCCAGCCCCAAACCATTCCAGGATTATAAAAGATGCTGTCCCAGAATCAGGCCCTTATTGCTTCGAGCTCTGACCAAGCCTCACTGTGAGAGAAATCTGCCACTTTCACTCACCAAATTCATCTTTCTCCCCTTTTCTCCCAGGCTCAACAGCTTATTGGACATCATAGTGTCCATGTCTGTTTTGGTGGGCTACTCCATCACCACAGCAAGCTTTGTGCTCTACATGGTCAAGGAGCACCAAACCAAAGCCAAGCAGCTGCAGCACATTTCAGGCATTGGGATGACAACCTACTGGGTGACCAACTTCGTTTATGATCTGGTAAATAATTCACATTCCTAAATGCACCAGGAGGAGCATCACACGGCACAGGGGGGGAAAAAAGTTCTTTATTTAAAATTGGTTGCCTAGACTTCTTATTGCTACCAAGAGTGTTGTGTAGTAATTGTTCTCCAAGGCACTGGGGACAATTAAATGTGGACTGCAGCACAGGCATTTCTGCTCTCTGGAGAGTGTGTAAAACACTCAGCACATTTATACAGGAGCAGTACAGAACAGGCTGCAGCTTGATTTCCATCCCAGCAGCCAGCTGCTCCTCTGACAGCTTGCAGGGCTGGATCTGCTCTCACCCAGGCTCCACAAATCTGGGGTGAGGCTTTGGGGCTCTAGGCTACAGCCAGTCTGGGAACCCTGGCTGGGGCAGCAGCAGGCATCCCACAGCTGACACAACCCTGCTGGACCAAAACCCATCTCATCATTACAGAATGCTGTCTGTAAGAGTCTATGTTATAAAGTTTTTAAGGCAAAGAAAGCTACAAATGCAGCCTTGCAGGACCTGAGCAGTTCCTTTTCACGGTGCTGCATAGATGTACCTTGTTGAGCTCTTGTTCCTCCTGAAGTTGAGTTTCCTCCTGAAGTTGAGTTTCCTCCTGGTGCAGAGGGTTAATGGCATTGGAAAGCATTGCTGGGCCAAGAGGAAAAATGTAGTGTCTGTAGGCTGAAGTGCTTTGTGTCTTCTGCATTCCCTGTGGAATTCTCACACAGGAAATGGGCAGTGCAGCCAAGCTCAGCTCCTGAGCCTGGGCTGCAGTGGTGACCAGCTCCACCTACCCCACAAATTTCTGTTCATGCAGATCTGCAAGTGCATAAAATCCCAGTGATTTCCTGAAAACAGGAAATCTTCATGGACATTTGGGTGATCAGCCCTCTTTGGTGCAGGGAGGACTAAGGGCTGAAATCCCATGGGGAATGTGAGCCAGAAGTGCCTGCCTGGAGGGGCTGATGACTGCAGACAGCAGCACAAGGATCTCCTGCCCTGCAGGAGGGCTGGAAGGGATCCCAAGGCAGCAGCACAAGGATCCCCTGCCCTGCAGAAAGGCTGGAAGGGATCCCAGGCAGCAGCACAAGGATCCCCTGCCCTGCAGAATTCTGGAAGGGTCCCAAGGCAGCGTGGCCCCAGCCTGGCTCAGCAGTGCAGCCCCGAGCTGCAGCACAGCAGGGAGGGTGGAGCAAGGCTGTGCCTGCCTGCCCCATCCAAGCCCTCTCTCCAGCACTGCATATTTGTAAATCAGCCTGTGGAAAAATCCCCAGAGTCCTTGCACAGTCAGGATTCAGCGGGCTGAAACTAATCCAGCGCTCTCGGCAACTTGATATTTCTCCGTGAATCTCTGCCAGTAAATTCTGCTAAATCCCCAAGCTGGGGAGGAGAGGAAGCTCTCCAGGCAGACATTTGGTTGGTCTCTGGCTTGACTCAACACTATAAAGACTAGATTTACAGGGCACAATGAAGTGGTCTGACTGCAAGGCTAACAGAAAACCCAAAGGGGTATTTTTCATTCACAACCTTTTTTTAAGATACTTTCTGCCCACAGTCCTCAACGCTGAGGCTTTGCCTATTCAAAGAGGCTTTGTGGGAATTCATCTGGGGAGAATTGAGAGCCCACCTGTGTTTGGTTTCCCTTAGGAAAACCAAGCTGCATTTGTGGGACTGGCATTGTTTCTTCTGTTTTGCTGTAGGAAGGTGTTTCAGAACTGTCATCCTAGTAACATCTTCTTAATATCATTTTGCAGGTACTTTTTATGGTCCCTATTGGACTCTCAGTAGGAGTTATTTCAGCTTTCCAGATCCCAGCTTTCTGCAACAACAGTAACTTAGTGGCAGTATTTCTTCTGCTGTTACTGTTTGGGTAAGTGTGAAGCTTAGTTATTTAAATATCACTGCACAAGGTAAGGAACTGGATCTTGCAGGCTGCTGCAGTCTGAGATCCAGGGCAGGAATACATGGAAAATGTCGAATTTCTCTTCAACATGCCTTTCACAAATAGTGACTAAGTTGCTCCTTCCAGGAGCAGGGAGGTGAAGCACTGTTGTCATGCCTGCTTAATTCAAAACAAACCCTACATGAGGATATAGAAATATTCAACAGCAACAGCCCAAGCTGTAAGCAAATACTTGCTGACCTCTTGCAAAATTCAAGAGCATTTTAATATCAGAGAGCAAAATAAGCAGCAGTAGCAGAATTCTGGAAAACTTAGACAAACTCTCCCTGGCTTTGAATCCCCCAGTCTCTGTTTTCAGGTGTGATTCCATGTTCACAGTATGTATCATAAACCTTTTCTCCAAATTCTAACAGGCACAAAGGCATTTTTCCTTTCTTTAAGCTCTGTAATGTGGAAATGTCAAATGCCAAAACAGAACTGTTGTGCTCCAAGTCTGGAAGTGTTCAAAGCCAGGTTGGACAGGGCTTGGAGCAGTCTGATCTAGTGGCAGGGGGTGGAACTGGATAAGCTTTAAACTTCCAACTCCAACCATCCAATGATTCTATGTTGTCTGATGTCTTCAGTGGTTTGTTTTCAAAGTAGCCTTTGAGTTACCATGGTTTTCTCTGCATTGTTGGGATTTATAGATATGCATCGTTTTCCTGGATGTACCTGCTGGCTGGGTTCTTCAAGGAAACAGGGATGGCCTTCATTGTTTATGTGTGTGTCAACTTGTTCTTTGGCATCAACACCATCATCACTCACTCAGTTGTGTTCCTGCTCTCCCAGGAAAAGGCCACGGATCAGGTAGGAGCCCCACTAGTGATGACCCTGTGGTGACACAGCAGGAGGTTTCTTGTGGGTTTGGTGCCTTTGATCAGGTCCCTAGCAGCTGGACACAGTCACAGGATTTCACAGGGTTCCCTACAGACAGGACATGAGTCACATATGGATCTTGCTTGTCTGTAAATCTGCACCCCCAGCAAGGAAGGAAATGACGGTGACAGAGGGGGGAACATGAAAAGAGAGGGAGAAAACTGAGGACTGTCTTTATAACCACACTGGTGATGGAAGGTGAAGGACAGAAGATGGGTGGAGATGCTTGATAAAAAGTTGTTGATGGACACTTCAAACCATTGCTGAGTTCAGAGAGTGACAGCTGAATGTCACTGCCCTGAGTCTGACATGTGCTGCAGTTAACCCAGCACCAGCTATCTGTCATTTCAGACTGTAATGCAATCATCTCCTCCCTGCAAGGATGAAAAACAACCCAGAGATAGTGATGATTCCCTAAGTAAAGCCTTCTCAAACTGAGATCTCCCTGGGAATGGCTGGGATAAAATCCACACCTTACACTCTGATTTCTTTTTTTATGGAGGGCAGTTACAATAGCTGGGTTGTTTTTTTCTCTCTGTCTGGACAGTTTGTTCAGCAACCCCTTGGATTTTAGGGACATGCAATTATGATCACCTTTCATCCCTCTGTGCCCCAGTGGCAGGGAATCAGTTCCCTTCCATGCTAATTTAGTGCCTCTCCAGTTTGCTTTGTGCACTAATCCTTTCTTCTGCCAGAAATGTACCAGAGTTCTTTACTGTGAGACTGCACGGGGCTGTTCTGCAGTGAATTAGCTGGGAAAGCCCTTCTATGTCTAGAAAAGCCAAATCTTTTGTTTTATGAAGATGTTTGTCCAAGAAAAACAGACAGGGCAGTGCTCCAGGGGAGCAGGCTGTGCTGGACAGATCACAGGGGCACAGTGGCAGGACTGAGCTCTGGCTCATGGGTGCTGGAGCAGCAGCAGGGACCATCCTGGGAACTGGCTGCTGTTTACTATGGGTGATCACAACCTCAGAGCTGCCTGTTGACTTTTATGACCTTGTGCCTGTGAAACGAGCTGTCTGCAGAGCTCTTTGCTCTCAATTTATCTCTGCTCTGAGACACAGGCAAATCCCAGTGTAATTGTTACACTTCAGTCCCACAGTAAAACCTATGAATTTATTCCATGAATAAAAGCAGTGACTGACTGTGCTGCTCTTTGTTTTTTTCCAGGGCCTGCATGATCTTGCTGAAAATTTAAGGCATGTGTTCCTTCTGTTCCCACAATTCTGCTTTGGCTATGGGTTGATTGAACTGTCTCAGGATCAGGCACTGCTGGGCTTTTTAAAAGCCTATGGAGTGGACTACCCTGACAAAACCTTTGAGCTGGACAAGACCACATCCAAGCTGCTGGCCATGTTCATCCAGGGCACCTTGTTCTTTGTCATTCGTCTCACAGTCCATGACAGGATGGTTCAGAGGGTCTGGAACAACATCCTGGAGTAAGTAACACCTGGAGCCTCTCCCTGACAACCACGCTGGTTTCATTCCAGGCTCCCGCACCATCGCTGTCAATTGTGAAGCTCATAAATTTCCAGGGCAATTTGTGAATGTGGAGTGAGTTTTCTCTGGCAGAAGTGCTGGTAATTAGAGTATTAACTAACAGAGGTGTAGTTTACAGTCCCCTGGGAGTTGGTGCTGGCTGGCACTGCAGCCCTGGGCTCGGGTTTGGTGGGTGGATGCTCAGCTGTCGGTCAGGGCAGTCCATTCCACTGACAACCTCCTCAGTTTGGTTCTCCCCATCTCCTGTGCCCTGGCTGCACACAGAGAGGAGTGAGAACATGCCTGTCACCTGCATTAGGAGCGTGCCCACAAGGCAGGACCTGCTCCAGCCCAGAATATTTGCTGAAAATGAGGGGCAGAAAACAGGCAGGAAGAGAGCACTGGATGGGAACAAATAGCAGGAGAGAATAGAAACTGTACATCTGAATATTGTATGCATGCCCTGGGATCTCTCAGGGAGGCTCCCTGAGATCTGTCCCAGCTGCTGGCTGTCGCTGGAGGATGTCCCTCTGTGCCCTCCCCCAGGTTCCTGTTTGACAGAGTCCATGGCAAAGCCTCCCTTCTGCCACCCACGGCTGTAGAGGATGGAGATGTCCAGGCAGAGAGGATCCGGGTGGAGTCTGGCAAAGCTGACTTTGACGTGGTGCAGCTCCAGAACCTGACCAAGATCTACCACCTGCCTCACAAACGCATCACAGCAGTGAAAAACATCAGCCTTGGGATCCCTGCTGGGGAGGTGAGCGGGGGGAGAAGGCTGTGGGCACCTTCCCCTGTCACTGTCATCTTCTGGAATGGGTTGTTCTGCTCTGGCCTCTTCCTTTCTTTGCCTCATTCATTCATTATTGGGGTTGCAGCAATGACAAAAGGCTCTTGGTAGATTTGGGACATCAAACGACAGTTTGAAGACTCTAGAAAGAGGGAAAGTGGCTGGGAATTGATGGAGCTCTGTTCAGAGCAAAATGTCTGCATGCTCTGTTTGTACAGTGCAGTCTTGAGGGAATCACTGGGCATCACTAGGTGGTAAATGAAGACAGCAGAATGTGTCCAGCCGAAATTACTCACCTGAACTGCATGGGCGATGGTGAGCCAGGCTTGTCTGCTTGTGTTTTCCCATCGGGGAAGACAAATCACTTCAGCTGAACATGCATTTTCATGAATCATGACATAAAATTAACTCCAAAGAAAAAAACATTCTTTGGTCATGTCAGTGCAGTTGCCTCCCTGAGAAGTGAAAAGACAGGAGTACACAGAGCCCTTCTGAGATCCAGAGGAAACTGGAGACCAGATTCTACCTCAGGCTATAGCTTGGAGTTATTCCTTGGCACCTGATTTATTTTAATTGCCTGGGTCCTGCTGAGATGAAAGGACAGTATCCTCACATGGACACTGTGCTAGTCTTCATGGCAGAGGATTTTTTCTAAGCCAGGACTGGCCCTGAGGTCTCTGACTTCTAGCAAAATTCACCCTGATGCAGGCAGACTTTGCACAGATCCTGTATAAGCCAAGGTGGGGAAGAGCCATGGATTGCTGTGCATCCCCATGCAAAAGAGGACTTTCACATCAGCTGGTCTGTACTAATGATGGCAAAATAACAGTAATTATCAGCACAATGGTGATGGCTGCTGATGCAACACACAGCTGCCTATCTCCAACCTTAGCAATAAAATGTGGATTTTACCATGTGATAATGGAACTACACTACAGGGAGACAGATCTTCATTTTATTAAGCTTTGGCGAAACGATGTGACAAAAACCTTGTGTTGATCAAGGTTTTAGCCAGTGCCAGCCCAAACCTCACTCACCCCATTGCCATGAGCAGCTCTGTCCCTACCAAGGGGAGGCTTTGCACAGATGAACTGATGGGGATTTGGACTGAGCTCCTGCAGAAATGTACCTCACACTAAAAGGAACTACTCTACTGGAGACACACCCTTGATTCTTCACCATATGAAACAAATAGTCCTAATATAAGCTGGAGTATATTGCACCATAAACAATCTCCATTACAACACTGGGATGATCTGAGTTCCTCTGACAATTCGTCCTGCTCAGGGGGCCAGAGAAAGAAGGGGCAAGGTGCACTGAGCACCCATCTCAGAGCAATATTTCTGCATTACAAATACAGCTTGTTTACATTTTGACTTTTCTTTCCCAGTGCTTTGGCTTGCTTGGTGTGAATGGAGCTGGAAAGACAACAATCTTCAAGATGCTGACAGGGGATATCGGAGCATCCAGCGGAAGGCTGCGGGTCCAGGATCATTCTGGGTATGGAGGATATGATTTCTGGGGGAGAAAATCAACCTAAGAGCAGTTTTTAAGGCTGGGTGGCAAAGGAAAAGAAATGTAAAAGTCTGAAATAAAACACTCAAACCAGAGCAAAAATAAATAAAGCAGGGAATTCATCCTTTGAAGGTGGCATGGTTGCTTCCTAGGGAGTTGCATTTTGCTGTTCAGAGGTGTTTGTCCCACTTCAGTCCATTGCAAATGGGATCAGGCTCAGATCCTCAGCAGTCATCCCACTTCCAAGCCAGACCTGGAGACCATTAGGGCTCACCTCAAAGCTTTCTTTAACAGGTGTAGGCTTGGTGGCACCTGTGCCACCTGAGGTGCTGGCAGGAACTGGAGAGCTACATACTGGACAGTCAGCCTCTGCAGAACTGGGGATCTGAAAGCTGGAACTCTGCATTTTCCTTCAAGGGTTGGAGAAGGGGGTAGGGAGTCAGAGAAAGGGGTTTTGTCCCTCCTGTTTGATTCAGGGTGTGCTGGCAATTCGGTGTGCTTACAGTGATGGGCCAACCTCCTTACACAGGTCCTTGAATGACATCAGTGAGGCCCACTGGTCACTGTTTGGCTACTGTCCTCAAGAGGATGCCTTGGATGACCTGCTGACTGTGGAAGAGCACATGTATTACTATGCTCGGCTGCATGGCATCCCAGAGGGGGACATCAAGGGAGTGAGTAACAAGGGGTTTGACTTGCAGCATTTTTGTCATTTGGAGCATTTAAATTAGTCTTTCAGTGTGGTAATCCATAGCCTGGACATGCTGTGGAAGCAGAACTCTTGCTCCCTAGGTTGTACTCCAGCTCCTCCACCGGCTGAACCTGATGGCCTACAAGGACAGAGTCACCTCTATGTGCAGCTATGGCACCAACAGGAAATTGTCAACTGCTCTGGCTCTCATTGGCAATCCAGCCATTCTGCTGCTGGTAAGAAATGGGGGCCTTGTTGAGGAGGAGGAGCAGGTCCTTGGGCTGGCAGGAGAACTTGGACAGTCTCACAAAACCTCCTCAGGCACAGCTTAAGGGATGCTCCCCATGTGCTTGGCCTGACAACAGAAACCATCACAGGAAAGTTCAGGTTCCAGCAAACACTCACATTTTCTTTGAGGACATAAGAGAGTGGCAAGTCTTTCAGTTTCTCTGGCAGCATCTTCCAGAGGTCAAAAATAGACTGTATATTTGCCAATTAAACTCTCCCAGTTCCCAACTCTATCTTGTTTTTTATTTCTATAAGCTTACCTGCACAGCCTTACAGGAAAAGCAGCATCCAAGGCTCCAAAACTGTAGGGAGAGCAAAGGGGCCACTTCCCTCATGATTGGAATGTCACTGCTTTTCTAGGTTTGGCTTCCTGTCTTGTTTTGCACTCTGAATTTCTAATTCTTCAGTGGACTTACCCCATTGCTCAAACATACCTGTTTGTGCAGTTTTCCCACTTGCTGTGTACTGAATGTGTGCAGAGCTCTGTGAGCAGGATTCCCAATATTAAGTTGGATACCTAGTGGACATAAATATCCCTTGTCCCAACTTCTATCAGACCCATCACTGCTGCCTTTACTTCTGACCATCTGCCAGTGCTCCTGCTGCTTTGTGAGATAAAATATCTCACTAAAAATAGAAAGAGGGGGGAATTGCCTCTGAACTAACTGCTGCCTGAGCCCAGGCTTGTTTACTTTCTGGGTGCAAATTTCCATTCAGTCCTGTCTTTCCCAATAGGATGAGCCGAGCTCTGGAATGGACCCAAATGCCAAACGTCACCTTTGGAAAATCATCAGTGAGGAAGTGCAGAACAAATGCTCAGTGATACTCACATCCCACAGGTAGGGCTGGGCTGCTCTGCCTCCCTTTTTGGGGTCAGCAGAAGTGTGGAGAGACCCATCCCTCACACTCCCCGCTGGTCCTTGTGCAATTTCAGGGCACTGTGACAGGTTTGGGGGTTTGTTGTGGCTAAATGTGGTGTCCACAGAGACCCACAACACTTCAGGGGGAAGATCAGTGATGTTCTCCAGTTACTTAACCATATTTTTATACCTTCTCAATGGCTTACTAGAGTTTCTTGGTTGGTTTTGCAGCATGGAGGAGTGTGAAGCCCTCTGTACCAGGCTGGCCATCATGGTGAACGGGAGTTTCCAGTGCATTGGCTCTTTGCAGCACATCAAGAGCAGGTCAGTAAAATAAACCTATTTCCCTTTTACTGAACAGCCCCTGGAGTTACTGACCTACAGCTCTGAGTGCTCAGAACATGAGACCTGTGGTATCAAAACAATGACTTCTCCTGGTTCATGTCCCTTATACACCACTGAAATTCTGTGTTAACTAATGCACTTTCTACCCCCTCACAGCCTGTCTTCCCAGAATGTGTCCCCCAAAGTAATCTGTTCACTCTTACAAATGAGAAATGCATCTTAGGGTTGAGCTTTGGTTTTATTAGTTATAACAATAGCTCAGCTTCCTACTAGGTTTCACTCCAGGTTAACAACCCTGACCCCATTCAAGCTGCACCATGCCTGGATTAGATTTCCCCAAAGAGGCTGTGCAGCACTCTCAAAGGATTTTCTTCATCTCTTTTTCTGTTTTCTACAGTGGTAATTGTGATTTTCTTTTTCCCCTAGATTTGGAAGAGGATTCACTGTGAAGATGCACTTAAACAGCAGCACAGTTTGCACTGAGAAGCTGACAGAGTTCATGAAGTCACACTTCCCAAATACATGCCTGAAGGTAAGCAGGTCAAATGCTTTCAGGAGAGGCTTTCAAAATCCCTTCAAACTGACCAAGAAGATCCTTGCAAGGTGGATATTTTGTGACATACTGTGCACATAGATCTGAGCTCTGAGTCACACTTGTCACTGCTCTCAGCCACATTGTCTGAGGGCTGGAGCACTCCAGTTCCTGGTGGCTGAAGTAACAGCAGCCAGACAGCTGCACTGAGTCTGTAAGGCAGCTGTCAGTGACCCTCTGCCCTGGGAATGCCCTTCCACTGAAGCCTGGAATGGGTGGAAACCCCCTTTAGGTTCAGTGGGTAGTGAAATGCTTCCAGTACTTCCAGTAACTGAGTAATTGTAAAAGCAGACTAACTGAGTCACAAATCCCATCCATTGTCTGTAACCCAATCTCTGCATGAATCAAAACTGCACACCTGGAGCTGGAAAATGCTATGGCCACTCTGGAGTTTCCAGCTTTGCAGTTTAGTTGTGCTCCCCCATAAGAACTCCCCACTACCAGACAATGACATTCAGAAGACACCACAGCCCCTGCCCCTTCATCCTCCCATGGTCCAGCTGTTGGATCTGTTGGCTCTTGGCTTTCCCCCACCACTCCTGTCCCCACAGGATCAGCATTTCAAGATGGTGGAGTACCACGTCCCGGTCTCTGCAGGAGGGGTAGCCAATATATTTGATCTCCTGGAAAGCAGCAAGGCAGCCTTCAACATCAGGCACTTCTCTGTGAGTCAGACAACGTTGGAGGAGGTAAGGAATTAAAATGTGAGGCCATCCATTTAAAACTGCTAACAGGGGAGCAGACTGATGGTAACACATAATGAACTGCTGCACACAATAGACTACAGTTTGAAAGGGATTTCCATCTATATTCCTCCTGGGGGTACTTTATCAGCACTGCTGCCTCCAGGTACCTCTGCTGGTGCTAGGGAAACACACAGAAAGCTGCCTGGAGCATAAAGGATCTGTTCTTCCCTCTGTCACTGCTGATTTCAGGAGCCTCGTGGGTGTGGGTGAAGGGCAGGACTATGAATCACCCCCAAGTCCAGGGCTAGGCTTTCCACTGGTACTGAAAATATGCTTCATTTCACTTTTCAGTTTGGAAATTCATTTAGCATTACTCCAAACTTAGCTTTGGGGTTCATTCCATTTTCCCTTGGAAGAACATTCCCAATGGCAGCAAAATCTCATAGGGAGCACATCAGCTGAAGGGATTGCCACAAGGCCAGAAGAAATCACCCTGCTGAGCATCAGCACCTGGAATATTAGGTTTGTCCCAGAGACAGGAGCAGACCTGCAGCCCTATAGTGCTATGGATTGTGACACAGCAGTCTGGGAGGGGAGCTCCTCAGTGCTGTTCCAGCAAGGGCCAGTGGCTGTGAGAGAAACAGGCAGGCAAAGTGCAGGAAGCCCCAGCTCAAATTTTGTGGGAGGACAGCTTGGATTTGTGAATATGCAAATGTGATTGCAGGGAGTGTTCTGGTAAGAGTCCTTTCTGTATTCATTAGCTGCTGTTGAAAGGAAGGCTCTTCCATGTGATTTTATACACCTCTCTCTACACTCTGCAGTTGTGCGTGCACAGATGTCAATTACACAGAGACAGATGGGTTTATGAAGTAATAATGGGACTGTATTACAGTGTGATCAAAATGAGCCACTGCATGGGCATTGCCTCGCTGGTGCTTCAGGAACCTGAGCTGCAGGACAATTAGATTCTGTGCAGGAATGTCTGCCTTTGGATCCTGTTGATTCTGCAGTACAGGAGTGCACATCCATTTATTTACATGAGCCCATGGAAGCTCAACAATTTGCAATTCTCAAATTCAGCGTGAATCCATCCCCAAGCGCTCACAGTCAAATGAACAGCCATGCCTTTTTTATATTCATTCACATCATAAATTATTTATGCTGTCACATACTGAGTGTTTGCCTTTAAACTTCCAGGTTTTCATCAACTTTGCTAGAGATCAAGCAGATCCTGACGGCGTGGACGCAGGTCCTGATGTGACGCTGGACAGCTCTGACACAAGTAGCCAAGCTAGCACCATAAGCTCCATCTATTGAAGGGATCCACCCACACAGGATCATAGAAGCTGGGGAAAAGGCCTGACAGCCCCTCCAACCCTGTTTTCAGTGATTTTAGGGTGATGGAGAGAAGCAGTCCCATTTTCTTAAAGTACTTTGTTTTTTTATATGCAGTTAATGTCACTAGGTAGGTGTTTGAGACTGGCACTATGGTTACAAATCAGATTGGTATTTCCACAGGTTCTTTCCCCCCCCATTCTTGTTTTATGATCACTGTAATGGCTGTGAGGATTTAGGCATCACATGCTGCTCGTGGCCGTTTGCTTACAGCAGACGTGGCCCTGAGCAGAGGAGCTGTGGGCAGTGCAGGGTGTGTGACCACAAAACAGCCCCATGGGCACAGAGGAAAGCCCACACTCCACTCCCTGCTCAGCAGCAGACTTTTTGGGTGACTGAGTGAAAGTGGCTAGGTTTTGACAGGCTCCCCCCTGGGGAAATGGGGTTCATGGCCTTGCACCTCCTCCCAGGGGGGTTGTGAGGTTGCAGGTGTAATGTACTGACAGTCTTTGGTAATGACATAGATCTTACCTGGTTATGTCAGCACAAATATAACTATTTTATAAGTTAGTGCTTCCAGTGGTTTTGGTTTGTTCCTGTAGCTTATTCCAGCTCTATGTAACTCCTCGAGTGAGTCCTCTGGTCCCAGGCAGTTCCTGGCTCTGGGTACCAGTGGAAGATGATTCCCCCACGAGCCCCTTTCTCCTGGCTGGAGTTCAGGGCTGCTCTGGTATAGCCGAGGGTGGTACAGGACAGGTCTGTTGGCTGAATGCTCTGACAGGAAGAAGCTCTTTGCTTCATAAGATTGTATTTCCCTGAGCACAGTAGAAGCAGGAGCATCCCCCTTGCTCATAAACCCTCCATCTCCAGCAGCTTTGCCTCTCTGTGTCCTCTCCAGTGACCTTCCTCCCCAGCCCCACGTGCTGGCTGCCCCCGTGACTCCGGAGCTGTGTTTTCCCACATAATAAGGCATCATTAGCTCCTGCTTCAAAGACTCTGCCTGCTGGCTTTAAGGGAGTGCTCTGCCCACTCCTGAGAGCAGCCCCCAGCAGCTGAGTGCAGCACACCACCACACACATCCTGCTCTCTTTCCCCAGAATGATTAATAGATAGAATAGTTTAATATGATTCTTTATTGTATGTATCAGCATAAGGCCCCAAAGACTGGGGTTTGGGTCAGGCATTGATGTACCTTCAAGCACAAAATGAACTTCAACTCTGAGCTCAATAAACTTACTGTTGCTGGTAAAAGAGATTGCAGATAAAGCCTTACCTTGTGAGACCTGGGGTGGCCCATACAGCTTACCTGGGTTCACCCATACAGGTGGGGTGAACCATTCCAGCCACGTGGTTTCTTCTTCCTTTTTTTTTTTTTGCCCTTACCCCAAACTAATTTGAGTCAAAAGAACCTTTGATGAAAGCTGCAGTGACACATCTTTGTTACCCTGACCATAAGTTTGACCATTTCAGCTCCTTCGTGATGCCAAGGTTTGCTGTGATAATCGTGCAAGGAGTAGGTACTTTGTAAAATCCCAAACACCCTCGATATTCAGTGGGATACTGAAGTTCAAGGTTTAGCTGCTGCAAGGAGGTCACATCCTCTCCTTGGTCTTTGTGTAAACTTCTTACTGCTAGCAGGAGGAGTTTTATTATGGATTCAAAGTATTATTGAGCTTTGAATTATGCTTCAACCTGCTGACTGTAATTAAAACTGGGATGCAGTTTCTTTCCAGAATGCATTTGACACCTGCAGTTTATAAGTAACTAAAAACGCTGCCCAGACATCCATTGTAGCTTCTATTATTATGTCTCCAGCTCTGCAAAAGCTCTTTTTTCTCATTTTCATTGCACATCTTACACAGATCACAGTATAAAATTAAGCTTTTCTCTAATGGAGGGCTTGTGCTCCCTGCAAAGGACTCAGAGCATGAATGCCAATGATTTAAATGCAGCCTTGTAATACCAATCAGAGTATTATTTTATTATGTCGATGGCTTTGCAACTGCCAGTGAAAGATGGATCTTCAGACTCTGTCCAGATGTACTTTACATGTAATTGAGGGAGACTGATACAAAACTATTCTTTTGTCCATTCAGAGCCTACTAATCAAACAGGAAAAAAAAAAAAAAAAAGGAAGTGATTCATTAGAATACTTCAGCAAGTTGCAATTTAATTGTGTAAAATAGAGTTTTGAGGAGAAGAAAAAAAGCAAAAGGCATCCTTTGAATTTCCACCCAATTCTGGCATTAATAGAAACATCTGCTCCATGTGAAATGTGTCACAGCCATGATCTACGCTCCCCGTTCTCACTCGCAGGTAAAAATAAACCATCTGCTATTGCAATCAAATCTGTGGGTATTGGTCCAAGCAAGGCAGAGTTTGTATACTGGGGGGAATTTAACTGAGGCCCGTGGAGAAGCAGTTACAACCGTTTGGGGGCTGGAAGCATCTGGCAGGGAGGTTGTAAATAACATCACCAGGGGCTGAATTACCATTTGTGCCACATCACAAACATCCCCATTCCCTGCAGAGCCTCAGATTCTTCCTGTCCCTTTCCGAGGTAGGACACACTCCAAGCTCAATTCCGAGGTAAAAGCCTTTGAAGCCAGTACTCTCCTGCCTCTGGACACCAGCTCCATGCCTCCCATCACCTCTTTGTCTCCCTGAGAAGGTTCCAGGGGTGCTGAGAAACCACTGATGAGCATCTGAAGGGTTTTGAGCAGGGTCTACAGGGCAGGAGAAGGATGGGGTCACTCCCCCATCCTCACCTATGGGTGTAATACTGGGTGTCCCTCACTGCCAGCCCTCTTTGAATCCCCTCCGAAATTTTGGCTTTACATGACTGCTTTCAAAATGGGCCACCAAGCTGTCTCCTCCCTCTGGCCTGAGCAAGGAGCTGAGATTGCTGCCCCTTGAATGCTGTCTCACCTCTCCAGGAGCCAGAGGTGAGTGCTGCAGTCCAGGGGAAACAAGCTTTTCCCCTTCTTCCTTTAATGCAGTGTCACCTCACTCACCCCATGTCATGGTTTGAAAGACAGGTGTTTGTTAAGAAAGGCAGAAGCCTCTCTTGAAATGGACAATGTAAACCCCTTCCCTCCAATTATTATAATTTTGAAATTAAAGAGCTCTCAGGCAAAGATATGGGAATAGGAATAACAGTTCTTTACCAGGAAAAATTAAAATAGAAATACAGTAATACAAAAAACAAACCCAAAACACTGACACAGTCAGAATACAACCTGACACCCCATCAGTCAGTCAGGGTGTTGGCAGCAGTCCCATTCAATGGTGGCTGCATCCTCCTGCAGTGACAGATGTGGTTCTGTTGGAGCAGTGCTCCTGCAGAAGGTGCAGTTTTCCTCCAAAGGTTCAGTGATAATGTAGAAGGGTCTGGTTTTCCTCTGGAATCCAAATCTCAGATTTTATCTAGGTAGGAAATGCTTGGCTCCTCCCCCTGGCTGGAGCATCTCTCGATGGAATGATGGAATTTTATCAGTCAGGCACTGGGACACAATGGGATGATGGAATTTTATCAGTCATGCAGTGGGACTCAATGGCCATTAACAGGAGATATCTCCCTGGAGGAAGGATGGGTTGTTGAAAAGATAAGGATCACTGCCCCACATGGTTTTAACAGATGGTGATAGAATACAAACTTTTGGTTACATCCTGCTTTGCAAGCCAAGACACCCCAACAGCCCTCATGGAGGCAGCAGTGTCAGGGGAGCCCTCCCAGCACAGTCACCCAGCCCTGGTGCATTAATTGGAGCCCAGCTCCATGGAAGATGCTCTGGCACATCACACACACAAGGGAGAGGCAGTGCAGACACTAAGCAGGGCTAGGGAGCCAAGGAGGAATTTCAGAACTGTTTGTGTGCATTGTGAGGCTGATTGAAGTCAGGTTTGTAATTTGAGTTGTGGACTTGAAGACAATGATTCAAATCTCCATCCTGGCTCTCCTTCATTCTCACTTTGTGCTGTTGATGAGAGCATGGTGCTGATCCTTCCTTAGCTCCACTCTTGGTGCAAATAGCCACCGAGGATCAGGGTCAGAAAGGGTCTGGCAAGGGCTGGGGAAAACTGTTCAGTGTTAAGTAAAATACTGTAAATATTAATTCAAGGTCTCTAATGGGATTTTTTGGTCCTTTCATGAGAGCTGCAAGAGTGGTTTTGTTAACTGGGTCAGTTTAAAAAACACGTTTACAGCTCAGACGAACACATCCAGGTAAACAAAATTCAGTGACTGCTAAAGCTTAGGAGCTGGTGGTGCCCACAGACCTGCAGCCTGTGAGGAGTCACTTGTGAGATCCAGAATTTGTGGGATCCATCCCCATAACAGGCTCAGAATGGGGCTTAGCCTGTTGTAGGAGCTTCAGCTTCCTTCCATTGCTGCAGCTTCAGTGAAGCTGCTGTGAGGCTTTTTGGCTTTTTACAAGCCAAGAAAAATATCTGTCTCTTCAGTTAATAGGGGAAGGGTTATTTTGTGAGCTGGTGGAGAAAGAAAAATGAGTTTTGGATGGCAAGAGCACATAGCACGATTTTACTCTTTTTTTTTTTTTTTTTTGTGGACAACAGCTGTGATCTTGCATAGCTCTAAAGAAGTATCAACAGCATATTAAAAGTGAGCACAACACAGAAAAGCAGCAGTGGGGAATGACAAAAAAAAAAAATTGAATTCACCAGAATTATTATTCCATGCCAGTATTTAAATAAAAAAAACACTCTAATTAATTTAGTTGTTCAGGAAGAGGAAAGAAGGAAGATGGCACTAAAATAATAAGAACAACATTAGTAAGGGACACAGCCAGCTCTTGCTGTTGGCTCTGCTCCTCATGCCACTCACATACACTGCACTGGGAAGGAGGGAGCATGATGGGGAGTGCAGCCCATTTTGAGCCAGACCTGACTCCTCAAAATATCTGTAGAATGCACAGGATCACCTCAGGGAGTATCAGAGTTTTGAGGATGGAGGCTGCCCCGTGTTCAATCCTGCAGCACCTGGCTGGTGGCATGTGCCAGAATGTAAGAGTCCCACTGGCTGAGCCTGGGATGGACACATCCTCACAGTGCCTAAAACCCATGGAGCAACACTTGGAACCAGCTCCCTCTCCCAAGTGCTCATCCTGGGGGATGCAGCCCCCACTTCATTGCTCATTGCTGCTGGAACACCCTTCTGGAACAAGGCCTTGACAGGGGAAAGCAATCCCGAGGGTGAGACAGGGAAATGGCAGTGTTCCCATGAGCTGTATGGCTCAAAGCAACACCCCCACCATGTCCCCAGCCTCAGGAGTCATGGAGCTGCTTTGGTTTGAAGCAGTGAGTCTTTCACTAGACCAGCAAGCTGGGTAGAAATGAAGCATCTCTTGGAAAGAGTTCAGGTCTCCACTGACTTCACTGACAAAGGAAAAAACAGGAGGGCCACGGCAATTTATGGGAATGCACGTCAGATGAAATCCAAGTGAAGACAGGGTAATAACTGAGGCTCTTACCTCCATTAGCAGGTCAAGGTGAACTCTC